CCTGCCTCAGAGTGGGGCCAGTGCAGCCATGGCCATTCTCTGGACAGGGTCCCCTCTCTGTGGGTTTGGGACAGGTAACCCAGGGAAGAGCAACCAAAAAGGAGGGTGTGTTGGCCCTTCACGTCGTGGTTCTTTGCCGACAGGTCATCACTGCAGCTACTGCAAATGCAGTTTGCTCTGGATTTAATGGTAAACACTGCCTGGATGACCCTGCTGCTGACCCCAGCTGGCACACACAGGGCAGTGCTGCCCATCCCCACTCTGTCTGGGAGCATCCTCTGACTGCTCTGGAGCCTGTTGGGGCTGGTTGGTGTTGGCTCTGGGCACAGCAAGGGTGGCAACTTCATGTGGGTCCCTTACGTGCCTGTCAGACACTGACAGCCAGGACCAGCTGCCTGCCCAGCCTGGGTAACTGGTAACACAGCATCAGTTTACCAGTCTTCTGGACCAGTTGGTTATTGAAGGTGGATGTTTAAGTGAAAGGGTTGACAGTTTGTTTTGCATGGATCTGGCCTGGTACCAGATCCTGTGCTCACAACTGGGAGCAGCCTGTTCTGCGAGCAGAGCGGACAGGGAGGGATGCTGAGGTGGGTCTGGCTGCAGGGCTGGGGAGCAGAGCCAGCAGGAACTTCAGTGACCTGCCGTGACTCCACTTTTCCCAAGCTCCTTGCGGCGACACTCCCAATTCCCAAATGTTGCTGGGATGGTCAGTATTTGTGTGTGCATAGCAAGCTTTTTTTCTGAAGGAAATCCGGTCACTTGCACTTCCAGGCAGCAGTTCCCCCCTCCGTGTTCCTCACAAAAATGCCTTTTTTAGACAGGACTTTTACCAAGTCCTGGTGATCTGTTGATTTACACTTGATTAAAGTGAGCTAAAAGTGGGTTTTTCCCTCACATACAGATGAAGTAAAACACAGAATTGTTACCTTGCTCACACAGAGGCACTTGAAGCTTCACGGGTACGATATAGCGGCACGTTGCAAAAAGACGAGCATAATTTATATGATATAAAGTATATAGAGATATATTTTTAAAAAGTCCCTTCCCTTATTCCATAGTTTATTGAAACTGATGCGTTTCTTGATCCTGTTCCCTCTCACCACCACTGCTGCCTGCGGCTTCTCAGCCTCTCCTTCCCTCAGACTGCAGAACCGTCCGGTGACCTTCCCTCTCCAGTCCTGTCCCTCATGACACGACCCCTGAGCTTCTGGCGATGCCGATGTGCCCTGGCTTCTGTGTCACGGGCCTGGAGTGTTTTGATGCCTTTTTCAGCCTTCAAGCTCGGGGTCAGGTGCTGCCTCAGGTGATACCAGGTGAGGGGCTGCAGCCTGGCTGGTGAGCAGCTCTGCTGCTGCCGGGGTACAGCACTGGGAACCAGTGGGGGAACAGCACTGGGAACCAGTGGGGGAACAGCACTGGGAACCAGTGGGGGAACAGCACTGGGAACCAGTGGGGGAACAGCACCGGGCAGCTGGAGGTGGGGGGTGCAGCACCAGGCAGCAGTGGGAACCAGTGGAAAAGTGGCTTGTGCCAGCCTGTGGATTCCTTCCCACCCTACTGGGGTTCCTCTCATCTGGTTCAGTGGGGCCTTGGTCCGGTGCCTCCCCTCCCCTCGGCGCAGGGGTCCCCGCACTGTTCTGCCTTTATGTGACAGAGCAGGAGCTGGGCCAAGTGGTGCCAGAGCTGAAGTTCCCGGAGCCAAATGAAGAATGTCTCATTCTGAAGGGCCGGTACTTCCACAGCATCCCACGTGGAGTCTGGAAAGGCTGTGTGGAGCATTCAACTAGTTTTGCCAATTTTTTTTACTTTATATGAAAACGCAACTTTTTAAAAAGAGTCTTTTCTTAAAATCCCCTTGATCTGCTGTGCAGTGTCTGAGCCCGGCTGTTTAACATCAGAATTCCCAGGATTTGTCTGCAGGGACTTACATTTCAGGATGGTAACAGCAATGCCCAAGCACAAGGCAAAGATCGGCTTGATTGCCCGTCTGCAGTCCCGGCATTAACGGCCACAGGTCAAGTGAGTTGCCACTGATCTTGTTGCATTAAAAACCTGAGTTACACCATTGTTTTCTCTTCTGCCATTAATTTTGCGAAGTAGTAACATTTTACTTCCCTGTTTTTATTCTTTCTCTGCACTCAAATGGCTGCTGACAGCTGTGGTATCTTTTAAGTGTGGGCATGGGCTGAGTCCCACCTCTGCTCTCTCACAGTTCACCATCGCGTGCGTTCGTGTGTCTCTTTTTTAAGCTAACGATAAAATGTATTTATTTCGGTTCAGGTTGTGTTTGGAACTGGCTAATCTCTCCCTCTGATGGATTATTTATTAAACTGCTGCTTTCCTGTTGTGTTGAAGGTCTCTGTCCTGATTCCTTCCCTCACTGGCAGTACCAGGCAGCTCCTGCCCAGCCCTTGGCCTGACCTTTGTGAGTGGTGTGAAGATTTGGGGCCGGTTTGGGTCACCTAGGTTGGGGCTGCCAGCCCCTTCCCTAGCCTGAGATGGGGAGCAGGTCCCTGGCTCCCACCTGCCCCACTGGAGACTCCTCCTGGACTGGTTTTTAGCAGCCCCCACTCTATTGTTTAAAGTTCCAGCCAGATTTAATTTAGATCTTATCTGACTCCCATAAACACTTTTTGTGGTGGCTGAGGATGGTCCTGACTGAACAATTTAATCACAAGAAGTGTAAACACATCTGAGTCAGCTCTGGGATGGGGGCTAGTGCTTGATGGCTGATATCCTGGAAACATGAGCCATTAACACAGCCTGTTGCTTCTGTATTTATTTCCTCTGGACTAGACTAGCTTTTATTTTATTGTTTTCATCTTTATTTGAGAGAGAACCGTTCGCTTTTCTCACTTGGCATCACTGAAGAACAAAGGGCATGTGTTGCAGTACAGGAGTTGTGGCCACCCTTCCCCCCATCGGCGTGGTGGTCCCTGGGGCAGAGGCAAAGCCTCGACCCTTCTGGTGCCAGTGGTCACAGCCTGGGGCTACACCCCGGCCTGAGGGGCTCGGAGGTATCCTGTCCCGGAGCCAGCCCTTGTCCCTCAGTGGTTTGTGTCTCCACACTGAACTGTTTTGCTTCCTGAGCAATGGCTCTGGACCGAGTGCTGCCCGGCACAAGACCCCACTCCTGCCCTGTGGGAGGAAGCACAATTGGCTTCCAGGAAAGGTGTTGAGGCTTCTGAGTCTCTTCATTCCTTCAAATCGTTCCCTTCATTCCTTCAAAGGTTTCCTGTCCTGGAGCCTGGGCGTGCTCCTTTCACCCTGTGCACGCAACCTCTTGCTCTCTCTCGGCTGTGCCTGGGGCACCAGGAGCTCCTGTGCACCTCTGGGCCAGAGGAAGGTCCGAGTCCATTAGAGGAGAGGGCGGTGGAGTGGGGGCTGCAGTGGGTCACTGCTCAGGGGCTCGGTGAGCGAGGGCTGCCCTGGGGGCTCTGCTGTGTCACTCTGAGCTGGGCCAAGTCCCCTGCCCTCCCTCTGGCTCGATGGCTGAGCCATTGGAACTGGCCCTTGTGGAGCTGGAGGTTTGTCATGTTTCCATAACTCCAGTTATGGAGTTGTGTTGCCCCCCTGTGCGGGTGGCTGGGGCAGCTCCAGGCACTTGCAAGCCCCAAACCTGAGGAAGTGCAGCACAAGGTGCTGGGCTTTCTGGTAACTGTCAATCTTTTGAGGTCCAGGAAGGTCTGGGAAAGCTGCTTTTTAAGAGAAGGTCACACTGTAAGTGCTCAGTTCTGCTTCGGACTCTGGTTCATGGACTTTCTTATCATGTGGGTGGGAGTGGGAGGCGAAGCCCTGGCACAATGTCTCTGTCCTCAAGGTCCCCAGTCTCATTGTTGGGAAGAGCCTGGCAGTGTGGGAGCAGCCCTGGCCATGGCTTGTCCCAGGGCTGGGCCAGAGGCTCTGGTGGCTGCTGGAAAGTCCAGGAAGTGGCTCTGTTAACACAGGATGGAAGGAACAAAAACCCCAGGGCCATTAATCACCTGCTCGGGCTGAGTGTGCATATTCGGTGGTGGGTGTTTACAGAGCACTTCCCTTGCTCAGAGGCCTCCTGGACTGTCGGAGGATTAATGACACGACCTTCTGAAAGGATGCACGGTGCGCCAAGTGCCCAGAGTTGCCTCTCTGGAGAATTCCCAGACGGGAAATGGCCAGGTCCTGCCATGACAGGAGGTGCAGGGCTGGGCTCGTGCCTCCCTCAGCCCTTTGGCACCTTCCCTGGCCTTGGCTGCAGCGTGGCAGGACAGGACGGGTCAGAACCAGACCCATCTCTCCTGGGGAGCTGGGCAGGAGTGAGGGAGCGATGCTAGACCTGCCCTGAGACCCAGGAGAGGCACTGTGGCTGTGCCAGGGTCTTGGGGCTGGAAAATGCAGGGTGTTCAACACCTTCTATGTGGTAACGCTGTACCACGAGACCAACCCTACCAGGAACACCTGTTTCCATCCCTGAAAACACCCTGTTCTGGGAATAAATGCAGCTGCCGGCAGGACTGACCAGGGTCCCAGGTCCCGCTTTTGGGGAGGGCCCTTTCTACAGCCACGTGTCCCCAGCAGCCTGCAGCTCATCCCAGCTGTTGGAGTCATGGAAGGGCTGTTTTTTTGGGGGGCTCTGGGTGGGTGATGGAGCCCGTGAGAGCTGGGGATGGAGCTGGATCTGAGCCACATCCTGGGGTGCAAGTGCCTGTGCAGAGATGCCTGGTTGGGTGATGGGGACCCCTGCAACCACACGGGGACCCTTCAGGCCAGGGGCTCTCCTGGGTTTGGGACTACTGATTTGGCCCTCGGCTGGGTGTTGTGCAAGAGCCAAACTTGGAATAAAATCAGAAACCGAAACCTCCCTCTGGAAATACCCCTCAGGCTGGAAGTCGTGGGGGCCTCAGGGCCGGTGCTCATGGGGGCGGTTCCTACAGGGCTTAAGAAGGGCTGAGGATGGGACTGGCGGCCAGAAGGCGACAGCCCTGGCCAGCGGCACCCTCTCCCTGGAAGGAGGATAGAAAGGAAGGAAAACCACCCCTGCTGCTGCCCTGCAGGCAATGGAGCCGGCTCCTGTCCTCCTCCTCCTGAGCTCGCTGTGGGGCTGCAGCGGTGAGTGCTGTGGGGCCAGGAGCCACCCCTATCCCCCAACCCACTGCGCTGCCCGGCCTTGCTACTGCTGCTCCCCTTGTTTTGCCCCTGGCACTGCAGCCCCGGGGCCTCCCCATCGCCGAGTCCCGACTGCCACGGAGTCCCCCCGTCGCTGCTGAGCTTCCCGTCCTGGTGCTCAGGATTCTGGTGACTGTCCCCTTCCCTCACCCTGCGGTTTCCTCCTGCCCAGGGCGCCCCGCTGACAGGCTGGTGGTGACACCGCGGGAGCCGGTGGTGCCGTTTGGGGGCTCAACAGAACTGAACTGCTCCTTGGCCTGCGCAGGGGGCACGGTGGAGTGGAGGGGACTGGATACTGCCCTGGGGACTATCACCTCCTTCCCCACCCACAGCATCCTGCACATCAGCCAAGCCACTGTGGCCACGGAGGGCATGAAGATCTGCCAGGGCAGCTGCCACGGGCGGCACTACCAGCAAACCGTTGAACTGAAGGTCTATGGTAAGTGCTCCCCAGCCCGTCCCTCGCCACCTTCTGGCGCAGCCCTGGATCCCCGAGGCAGCCTCCTCCCTCCTGGGCTCTGCTGCCAAAAATCACCCTTAGCTCTGCCCTTTCTCTGCAGCCCTCCCAGACACACTGCAGCTGGAGGCAGTGCCTCACACCCTGTGCCCGGGGCACCCCGCCTGCCTGCGCTGCTCGGCCGCGCGCGTGCACCCCGTCACCGGGCTGGCCCTCACCTGGTACCGGGGGCACCAGGCTCTGGAGAACACAGACTTCGATGCCTCAGAGACCGATGAGGAGCTGTATGACATTGTGTCCACCCTGCCTGTGGGTGGGACAGGGGTGGCAGAAGGGGTGGAGTTCAGGTGCGAGGTGACGCTGCGCGTGGGACAGGAGACCTTCACCCGGGTGGCATCTGTGGTGGCGAGTGCTGGGGGTGAGTGCCAGGAGGGGCTGGGGACCGCGGCCCGCATGTGTTCCATCTGCTGGAGCCAACCTCCACTGCCCTGCACTACTTGGAGTAGTGTTGCCAGAACAGGAGCAGCTCCTGCTTCTGCACCACTCCCGAATCTCCCATCCCCATCCCTGTCCCCATCCCTGCTGCCAGTGCCCATTTGCTCCCACTTGCTGTGCTCGGAGTGGAGGGTGATGGGGCTGCAGTGAGGCCACCTGTGACTGATGCTGCTGTGTGTTCACAGCCACCTCCGTGAGGAGCCCCAGCACAGCTGGGCCCGTGACCACCACAGTGCTGCCCCTGAGGCCGAGTGTCCCCACACATGATCCCACCACAGCGCGGGAACTTGATGCTGGGACCACTCTGGAGCTGGCTGCTGCCACCGAACCCTCCTCCACGGAGCGGGCTGTGACACGGGACTTTGTCACAGGCAGTCCCGTGGCTGCTGCCACGCTCTCTGGCTCTGGCACGATGGGCCCAGGGCCATCTGTGAGTTCAGTGCCCGCCTGCAGCCTGCGGATCTGGTCGCTGCCCCCCACGGGGACACGGGGCAGGGCCCTGCGCATCGAGTGCCACGCGCAGTGTGCCGGGAATGCCACGGTGCACTGGCTGCGGACCCCTGCCGCCCTCTCTCAGTACCGGGAGGAGGCCGTGGGTGGCAGCTCCGTGTTGTGGCTGGACCACGCTGAGCCCTGGCACCAGGGCCACTACCAGTGTGTCCTGCTCGGCCACCTCGCCCAGGGAGTCAGCCTGGAGCTGACGGTTGTGGATGGTGAGTGGTGGTCTGTGGCCCCTTGCCCTGCCCCCCATCGCTTGGATGGCGTTGCAGCCCCTTGTACCGGTGCCACAGTTGGTGCTGGGGGGGTTTGCTCATCCCTTGGGGTTTTGCTGCCCTGGGCAGCTGTGGTTACAGCTCCGTGTGTCTGCAGGTTCGTTCAGCTCCAGCCCCGCCATTGCTGCAGGGGCAGCGGCCTCACTGCTGGGGTTCATCGTGACTGCCGTTGTGTCTCGTCGCCTGTGGAAACATTTCAGATCTCGGTGGGAGCTGTCCTAGGAGTGGGAGCAGCCCACGGATGCCCCCACCCCCCAGCCGTGTCCCTGCTATCCCCTTGTCCGCTGCTGGCCTCTCCCGACCCCTGGCCGGCCAGAAGAAGCAGCAGCAGGAGCTGTGCCTGCAGCCGCCGCGGGAAGCAGGGGCTGGAAGGGCGATGAGCAGCGGTGTCACAGGGACGGGGCCAGGGATGCTCCCGGGACTGGATCCCCGCGAGCTCGCACCGGACACTGGGCTGGTCGGACGCTCCCGGAACCTGCGATGGGCGGGAGCGCGACGGCCGCTCCTGTGCCACGACAGAGGGTCCGAGGGAGCCCCCGAGGGAGCGTGAGCTCGGCGGGCGGGGGGGGGCGGTACTCCAATAAAGAGCTGTTTCTGTTCGAGCCCTGAGCAAGCGTCCTTTGGGCTGGGACTGTCCTGGTCCCGGTCCCGGCCTCAGTCCCGACCTCGCGGCCCCTCACCGGCCCCGGGTCACCGGTGGCGTCCGCCCGTTTGCCAAGGGCGGGGCACCTGCCCGGACTAGACATGGCGGCCGCGGCGCCCCCCGCGTTACCACTGACAGGGCAGCTCCCTTGCCCTTACTCATGATGGCGACCGCTGCGCGGCCTCGCCCAATGGCGGCGCGTTCGCGTTGCCTTCCTGCCCACCGATTGGCTGCCAGTGCGCAAGATGGCTGTGCGGAACCTTCCGGCCCGGGCGGAAGCGCGCTCCAAGATGGCGGCGTACGAGAAGCGGCGGGCGGCCGCCGCCCAGGGGCCGGCGGGAGGCAGCGGGCTGGCGGAGCCGGGGCGGGTGGCGCCGGGGGGCGGCGGGCTGGCGGAGGACAGCGCGGCGGACTTCCTGCTTCGAGCCGGCGTCACGGCCATGGTGCGCGAGGCGCTGCTGAAGGTGCTGGAGGCGCGGCCCGCCGAGCCCGTGTCCTTCCTGGCCGAGTACTTCGAGCGGCTGGTGCCGGCGGAGGCGGCGGCGGAGCCCCCGGGGCCGCCGCAGCGCCTGGCCCGGGCGCTGTGGTACGTGCGCCTGGCTCACCACTCGCACAGGTGCGGCGGGCGGCGGCGGGGGGCGGCGGGGGCGGGGGGCGAGGCCGCCTCTCTGTGTCTGTGCCCTGTCGCGACAGGACGGCTTTCGACAGCAACGCCGGCGCGGCCTACGAGGTGCTGGGGTGCGGCGGGCGGCGGCGGGCGGCAGGCGTGGACGGGCGGCTCTACAGCGAGCTGCTGCGGCGCATCTGCCAGCGCGGGGCGGCCCCGGCCGAGGCGGCGGCCGCGCTTCTGCGCCGCGTCCGCTGCCGCGACCACGAGGCCGTCCCGTTCGACGTGTTCCGCTACGGCGTCCTCACCTGCTGCGTGCTGCTGGAGTTCGCGGCCAAGGCCGACGCGCTGTTCGCCGTGCTGGGCGGCGGCGGCTCCGCGGACTCCAGGCTGTGCCAGGCTGTGCTGCGGGCGCTGGAGGACGCGCTGGGCGCCGGGCACGGCCTGCGGCCTGGCCGCTACTTGGAGGCGGGCTCCCGGCTGGGCCCCGATGGGCTAGCCCTGGCCATGGATCGGGCGCTGCAGGAGAGGAAGCTCGGCTCATCCATGAGCAGGGAGGAGTTCCTGAGGAAAGCCACCGCGCTGTTCATTGCAAAGGTGAAGCCTGTGGAGTGATGTTGAGTGGGAGCAGCGCTGGCTGCGGCTGCTGTTGACCCCACTGAGCTGAACGGTGAGCATGGGGGGCTGGTCAGGCACTGGCTGGAGAGCCTGGGTTTGCCCGACAAGAGATTGCCCATTTCCACGCCCCTCCCCTGTTCCTGCTCAGCAGGAACTGTACTCAGCAGCTCTGTGCCCCTGCTCACAGCGCCTCGCCCAGCCATGGCTCCTCTGGCCCAGCTGCATTGGGAAGTCCCTTTCAGGTGTTGTCCAGAACTGGCACGAGGACTATGACCTGCAGGGCAGCTCTGGGCAGTGAATCAAGCCAGAAGGAACGAAGCTGGGCCATGGCTGCATTGGACAGCTCCATGAGCGTCATATCTGGACAAGACACATCCCCTTCCCCTGGGACGGGGTTTGCTTTGGCACCAGCTGTGTGTCAGGCCAGGGGTTATTTATTTGAACTTGTCTGTTTGTTATTTATACTGTGCAATTGCTGGTTTGCTGTAAGACATTAAATCTTTTTATTATTTTTTAGTGGCCAGTTTCTTACCACCTGGCAGCACAGGGCAGTCTCCATCCTTGGGGGCTGGTGTGGCTGTGGAGCACCTGGAGTGCAAGGGCTGGTTGGAGAATCCCCACAGGCTTGGGATGTTGTATTGGGTGGGGGCAGGACCTGGGGCTGGCTCCTGACTCAAGCACAGGTGACAGGATGTGACACGAGGGGAGGTGTGAGCCACGGGCACTGGAGGGATCATTCTGCTGGGGCCGTGCCAGGAGCAACCTCTGCTCCGGTTGCCTGGCAGAGCGGTGTAGTATCACCCGGGTGTGACATCCGCGGGCTGACAGGTGCAGTCACTGCTGAACGCTGACCTGGGGCTGCACGGTCGCACCGGGGCTGTCGGCCGGGCCGGGACCCGGTGTTCCAGGGAGCCCCGGGGCGGCGGACGATCGCTGAAGGGACCCCGGCACGTGCGCTGGGTTTGCTCGGTGGGGCGGCCGGGAGCGCCAGCAGGGCCAGGAGCAACGAGAGCCCCGGCACGGCCGCTCACCGGGAGCGCCGACAGGACCGGGCGCGCCGGGCCCGGCCCGGCCCCGCCGCCATCCCGGCGCGAGCTCCGCCCCTGCCCCGCCCCCGCAGCGCGCTTTGATTGGCGAGCGGTGCCCGTAGGGGCGGAGCTCCGGGCGGCCCCGCCTTCCGCCCCGCCGGCACAGCCCCCGCCGCCCCCCCGCGCCTCAGAGCGGCCCCCCCGGCCCGCCGAGCCCCGGCCCCGCCATGGCGCGGCCCCCCGTGCCCAGCTCGCAGAAGGCGCTGCTGCTGGAGCTGAAGGGGCTGCAGGAGGAGCCCGTGGAGGGGTTCCGGGTCACCCTGGTGGACGAGGGGGACCTGTACACCTGGGACGTGGCCATCTTCGGCCCCCCGGACACCCACTACGAGGGCGGGTACTTCAAGGTGAGCAGCCGGGGGGAGCGGGGGCTCGAGGGGGCGAAGGCAGAGCAGGTGGTGTCGTGGGTTGTGCCGGGTGCCTTGGGAAAGGGTAAGGGGGTTCGGGAGTGGGGAGACCCTGTGAGGGTGTCTCGGGTGGGTGTGGGGGGGCATGACAGGGCTGCTCCCGGCCTTGAGGGGGTGCTGAGGGCCAGGGAGATCGGGGTCCTTTGCTGGACACCGCGGGGTCCCTGGGGTTGCGGGGTGGTCTCGTGGGGAGGATGGGAGCTGGTGCACAGGTGGCTGCTGCCAAACTAGGTGAGGGTCCCCTTCGTCGTGAGGGGCGTTTGGCCCCCCGGGGGCTCTGTGGGTGCCGGACTGCAAGCTCTGGGTGGCTGATATTCCCTTTCCTGGAGGGGATCCAGGGCATCGCCACCAGACCGGAGGGAGAGACAAAGGTCCCTCGGGTGCAGGCACGGATGGCCCAGCCCCGGGGGGAGCTGAGAGCTGGGCAGAGAGTGTGTCTCGTGGTTTGGTTTGGAGTTTGAGGTGGGAGAAGGCGTTTTGTGGCCTGACAGCTCAGCCCCTCTCGGCAGGATGTGTGTGTGCTCTTCCCAGGTCTTGTGCAACCTGGGTGGCTGTTTTCTTCCTCTTTCTCATCCTCCCTCCTCCACCGAGCTCTTGTGTTTTCATCCTGTTGCTGTCAGGGTGGGGATGTGCGGGGTGAGTCACCCAGGGTCAACTGTGTTTGTTTTCCTGGGCATGCATAGCTGATGCTTCAGAGCCAGGTTTTATCTCTTCACTGAAATTGGCATAAGACCCTCTGAACTCTCAGCTTTTAGCCACTCGTGCTCCTGTTGTGTGCCTTAGAGCTTCTCCAGAGTCGGCACCAAAGGTGCTGGTGAGACTCTGCATAAGAGGAGAGCGAAGGGGCTGAATCTTCTCCAGCCTGTTAGTGCATGGCAGAGCGGGGTTATTGCTGTCCCAGCCCCCTTTGCCTCTGTGGGTTTTGTTCTTATCCCCTCTGACACAACAAAGGGGATTATTCTGCGACGTTCAGCTGTTTGGCTGGAGCCCAGCGCAGGGCTGAGTGTCCCCGCGTGCGTGTGCACTGCCCTGGGCTGCCCAAACTCCACACACAGAACGTGGCCCCCGCTGCGTTTTTCCCCCTTTCCACTTCTGTCTGCGCCGTGGAGCTCAGGGACAAACGGCCAGCCTGGGAGACGAGGCAGGAACACGTATGGGGACAGACCCGCTGCTGTCGGGGGTTGCCTGTGCTGGGGCCGGATCCTGGGAGGGTGGGAGGGTGGGGGGCTGGAGCCCAGGATGGGTCAGGGTGATCAGAGTGGCGAGGAGGGGGACAAGTGTCTCTGTCTCCTGCCCTGATCCATGAGCAGCCGTGAGCTGTTGTCCAGGCTGTAGTTCCAGAAGCATCCGAAGAGTTGTCTGCAGTTACCTTGCTGAATGGGGCTCATTCCATGGGTAAAGAGCAATCCCGGGTCACTCCCCCACTGCTGGGCAGAACCAGAGTGGTTCACACTGTCCCTTCATGGATCTACTGTCCAAATTCTCTGGTACGTGAACTGAGGGAGCAAGAAATGTTCAGGGAGTTGTTGTGTGTTTTAAACCTTCACAGTTTGTTTCTGGCCGTTGCCTGTTTTGGGAGCAGCAGCTGAGTCTCAATCTGGAAGTTTGTTCCCAGGGCCTGGAAACAGCCGAAAGCTGAATCAGTCTCTGGGACGTTGCCACGCTGGGAGGAGCTGCCCCCATCCTCTCGGACGCCTGGTGCTGGCAGCAGCTCTGGGGGCCATGGGGATGTTGCTCTAAGTCCCTGTGCCACCTCAGGCTTCACCTCCTCACTCAGGGGTGGACAGTGAGGCTGTGTTTGCCTGGCCTCAGCCCCTGGGGTTCGCTGGCTGCGGGAGGAGCCCTTGGTGGCTGCCGGAGCCCTGGGCTGCAGCCTGAACTTCACGTGCTTTTATTTTTAGCCCCCGAGCTTCGCGCTGCAGCCAGTTTGGACTTGGTCTCTTTTCAGCAGTGACAGGCTATTTTTAGACATTTGATGTGTTAATCAGAGCACAAAACACCTGATGCTTCCTTCCCCTGAGCTCTGAAGGGTAAACAGCCTTTTCTCCGGTGGCACAGCTATGGCCACTGGACAGCAGCCCTGGGGGTTGGCTGGCTCCAGGTGCTGAGGCCGTGCTGGATCAGCACTGTGGGCTCCCACTGGTCCCTCCATGTTGGAGAGCACCAGGTTAGCGTGGGTGGGCCCTGCTGGAGAGGAGGGTATTGGGCAGAATGGTGGGGAAGGAGCTGACAACCCTCACAGCCCATTCACTTACCCCACTCTCTGTGGTGAGAGGGCACCTGCAGGGCCGGTGTCTGTCCTGCCCCTGGGGCTGGTGTCCTGCTTACGGAGCCAGCTGACATGGAGGCCAACAGAAGCCCATCTGGGCTTGGCAGAGGTTCCTTTTTCCCAGAGCTGTCAGGAGCTTTGTGATTTCCGTCCCTTCCTTCTCACAAGCTGGTCCCCTTATGTCTCCTTATTGTTTCCTTGCAGGCTCGTCTCCGATTTCCCATCGACTACCCCTACTCTCCTCCTGCCTTCAGGTTCTTAACCAAAATGTGGCACCCCAATATCTATGAGGTAGGTCCCCCGGGACAGCGAGGAGAGTCTTGGACAGGCAGTGGACATGTGTGCATCTATTGTAATGACACTGGATGCAAGTGCCAGCCTTTGTCTGGCACTGGACACTCAGTGCCTTTGGCAATGACTGCCTGGCACTGGGAATGCCACTAATGAGCTCACGACAGCCGTTTGCTGTCCCAGCGCAGGTTCCAGGCCAGCCAGGCTTCCCAGGCCCAACAGCTCCCACGCTCAGCCCGCGGGGATGTCGTGCCTGTGCCACGAGTGGCTGCAGGGCGAGCAACGTGCCAGGCCCCGGGGCCCTGGGCACAGGGGGTGCAGGAGGGCTGTGCTGGGTACACGGAGTGTTCAGCATCGGGCAGCCTGACCCATATGGTGCTGGCAGCCCAAGGCCTGAGGCTGCGGCAACAACTCTGGTGCCCCTTCCTTGGGACTGAAGGAACAGCTGGGATTGCTTCACGTGGCTTCAGCCGAAGGGAAGAGTGAGTGAGGAGCTGCTACTGAAGGGTGCTTGGGGCATCAGCTCCTGAGGGTTCTGTTTCTCTTGTGCTTTCAGACTGGTGATGTCTGCATCTCCATCCTCCACCCACCTGTGGACGACCCGCAGAGTGGGGAGCTGCCATCGGAGCGCTGGAACCCCACCCAGAACGTGCGGTGAGGGCTGCGGGTGGGGGGCTCAGCTAAGGGCAGGGGTGGGATGGTGGGAGGATGGGGACGGCCTTCTGCTCCCAAAGCCTGAAGGAGATTCCAGGGGGCTGTTGGAGACACTTGGGCTGTGGGCTTTGCTGAAGAACAGGCAGAGCTTGTGTGGGGTTGCATGTGAGCCCGACAGCCCATGTGCTGGTGTCCCCTGCCTGGCCTGCTCCTCCTCACTGGGACCTTCCCTTGCTGTGGGCAGCACAGGGCTCTCTCAGCCCGTGGACTCAGTGGCATTGCTGGGACACGGGGCTGCTGGCACTGCTGGGGTGTGGGTGGCTGCTGACCCGCCTTGGCTCTGACCTGCCTGTGTTTATCGATGCCAGGACCATTCTCCTGAGTGTGATCTCACTGCTGAATGAGCCCAACACGTTTTCCCCAGCCAACGTGGACGCCTCTGTGATGTACCGCAAGTGGAAGGAGAGCAAAGGGAAGGACCGGGAGTACACGGACATCATCAGGTGTGTGCTGAGCCAGGCCTGGCAGTGCTGGCTGGGCTGGCATCCTGTGGGACACGGGATCTGGAGGGCTGCGGTGCAGAGCTCTGTCCTCACCCCTCACTTCTGGCCCTCCAGGAAGCAAGTGCTGGGCACCAAACTGGACGCTGAGCGGGACGGTGTGAAAGTCCCCACCACGCTGGCAGAGTACTGTGTGAAGACCAAGGTTCCAGCCTCAGATGAGGGTTCAGACCTCTTCTATGATGACTATTATGAGGATGATGAGATGGAGGAGGAAGCAGAGAGCTGTTATGGTGATGAGGATGACTCTGGCAATGAGGAATCTTGATGGCCCTCTAGCATTGCAAAACTTACTATAAACTACTGAATTTTACCTCAACTAGAACAAACGGGTTTGAATTTAGGATCTGTCAGCCCTGAAATTAACTCTCTACCTCGCAGGGAGACTGTTCTGCTGTTGCAAAGGAAATCACTGTCTTTGTAGGCAAAGCAAAAAACAAACCCCCTATTTTATGAACTTCAAAGTGGGGGGAAGGGGGAAGCTGTGTTTGGGTGTTCACAAAGCCACAGAAACTGGGGCACTGGTGTCTCTAGCTGAGGAGTGACAGCCAGAGCTGATGTTGGCTGCCCCTTGTTTGGGCATGTTCAGCTCCTCTTCGGCCCTGTGGGGGAGGAGTGGTTTGGGGGGCTTGTGGTGGCAGTGAGTGGTTGCTTTTGGGGGGGCAGCATGTGAGCGTTGTGTGATTTTCAACACCTTTTGGGGCTCACCCTGCAGCCCTCTGGGCTGTCCCTGTGGGACCTTCCTGCCTCCCCTGCCTGTGATGCCAGAGCTGTGTTCGTAGGGCACCAGGCAGTTTCTGCCCGGCAGCTGCCAGCACTGGGGGCACGGGGGTGGTCTGTTTGTAGTTTTTGACTAGCTGGGAGGGACAGGGTCATGCTGAGTCTTTCTGCTTCTGTTTTTTTGGAAACTATTTAATAAAGTTCTTCTAGGGAAGGCCATGGTGCATCGGCGAGGCTCTGCCTGGTCTGTTCCAGGAGTTTCCATGCCAGACGTGGAACAGCTCCTGCCCTTCAGCCCCCGCATGGAGCTGTGGCAGGATGGGCTGGCTGCTCTCCCAGGGCTCAGGGCAGCGTGGGTCTCGCAGCAACCCTCTTCCCACCTTGCAGAGGAGGCAGGAGCGTCTGGGCAGGGTTGCCTCTGGCCTGGAGAGCATCTTTGCCCTTCCCAGGGAGGGGAGGGTGCAGCGTTAGGTGCCTCTGCCACAGACCTGCGGCCAACACATGGTCTCTTGGCCTGGGCCAAACCCTCCAGTGCTGCACTGGGAAGGTGCTTCCCTTCCTGCTCCTCTGCAGACAGCAGACCTGCCCGGGCAGTGCCCAGCTGTGCTGAGCGGCAGCTGACGGGTGCACAGTGGGTGCCTGGGGCCCTCAGCTCCTCTGATCCGGGTTGGGTGTGTCCTGACCCCACAGACCGAGAGGGGCTGGGATATGTGAGCTCCCAGCCCGCCCCACTCCAGCCTGGGGCACTGCCCCCGCTGGGATGGGGTGAGCAGCCTTGCTGCTAGCGCCTTGGGGCTAGGGCAGGGATGAGGCCCTGGCAAACTGCCTGCCTGAGGCTCCTGCCCCCCCAGCACAAAGCTCATCAGAGGGGTAATGAGCAAAACTTCCCCCCGGCTGGAGTCGTGCAAATGGGATCAGGGCTTGAGTGACACCTGCGACTGCACGCGGAGAGGGCATGTGCTTTGTTGCCTTAGGAAATGAGGCTAAAAGGTGAATAGGATTATTGTCGCTTTATTCAGGCCTGGCAAACGGCTTCCAAGGTCAACCAGCCGGCACGGAGCAGCAGCTCTGGCTGCCCCCCCTTCACAGCCAGCTCCCCCCTCCTTTTCTGGAGGGCTTCTCTGGGCACCTCCAGTAGCCTCCCCCACCCACAGGGGTACAAATTACTGTGCCCACGTGCCCTCTGCCTTTGCTGGCTCCTTGCAGCTGGTTCCCTCCTGCTGCCCTCGGGGTGATGCTCTGGCAGCACTGTGAGCTGCTCCCAGGGCCAGGGACCACCCCAGCCTTGGCCCTGCAGAACCTGCTCCTTGCTGTCTCCCTGGCAGGAAGGTCCTGGAGCTCCATGCAGCTTCTCTCCCCCTCCCTGGGAGTTCCCAACAGTGCTGGACACTGGAGGCTGCCCAGATCAGGACCAGCTCCTCAGGCTGAGGGTGCTGTGGGCTCCACATTCTGCCTGATTTTTGCACCAGGGGAGCCCCATCTGCCGAATGCCCCCAGTGCAGGGGGGGCAGAACGTGCTGGGAGCAGACATGGGCAAGAAATGCTCTGGGAGGATTCAGTTTACAAGAGCAGGCAGATCCCCGTGGAGAGCACGGTGGGGACTGGCGCCAATGGCCCCATTGTTTTGGCTTTTCCTGCCCCCCTTGCCCCGCACCCCCCGGCCACGAGCGCTCCACCCTGCTCCCACTGCTGGTTCAGCCAAGAGTTGGCTCCCAGGATGTAGAAGAGCTGGGGGGAGACCTGGGAACAGAGCTGCTGTCCTGCAGAGGCCTCTGCATTGGCTGCCTTGGGCCATGTTGGTTATTGCTCGCCCTGGCCCCTCGGGGTTACCAGGCAGCTCTGACTGGGCTGGCACCGGCAACCCCCGGCCCCCCCGCATGCACTGCCCGGCTGAGATCCCGGGGCCAGGCGCGTTCCCTGGGTACCCTAGACCCGGGGCCGTGGGCGCTGTGCCGAGGCCCGGAGGGGGCTGTGGGTTTGTCCTGGCACCGGCCCCGCCGTGTCCACAGGATCCATTGTCTCCCCTGAGCATCCCGCGCCGAGGAAGCGCTGCTCGGTTCCCTTCCCACACATCCCGCTGTGCGGGGGGCCCGCGGGCGGCCCTGGCTCACCCCGTGAGCCTTCCGTGAACTCCCGCGTGCCTTCGGCACAGCCGCGGCGGCTCCCGGCGCTGCCCCGGGACTCCGCGGGCCCGAGCACGCGCTGGTTCCCGCACGCCTCTGCCCACGGTGCGCCCCGAGGGGCTCCATGGCCTGGGGTGGGCCGTGCCCGGTGTGTCCGTGGGCTCAGCAGGGACGGGCATGTGTTCGAGCCCCCCCGTCCCCGGGGCAGCACCGGGACCTCTCCCGGGGCCGTCGGCACCCCGCGGGGGCGTGGCCGCGGCGGGACCGGCCCGAACCGGCTCTGCGCGCGGGGGGCGGGGGCGCTCCCTGCACTCTTCCCTCTGATTGGCCGCGCCGGGGCGGGAGGGCGCGGCCGGCCCAGAGCTGCGCTGCGCTATTGGCGGTCGTACTGGTCAGGGGGCGGGCCCGACGCGGGCCCCGCCCCACGTGCTTGCGCCGGCCGCGCTTATAGCGCGCGCGCGGCGCGGCGGGCACGCGTGCGGAGATGGCGGCGGGCGCGGCGGGATCGCGCGCGCTCCTGGCGCTACTTGTCGTGGGCGCGATGGCCGCGGGCGCCGCGGGGACAAGTAAGGACCGAACCGGGCCGAGCCGGGGCCGCGATGGGCCAGGGCGGGGCGGGAAGGGCCGGGGCGGCTCTGGGGAGGGTTCTCCGCCGGGCGGGGCGGGGGGCCCTGCGAGGAGTTGGGCTCGGTGGGATTCCGAAGGGTCCCGCGGTATCCCGGCCCCGCGGGCGAGCTCCGGGCCGGGCCCGGCAGCGGCGGGCGCGGGGGGAGGAGCGGCGGCGCGGGCGCCTGCGGCGGGGCACGTCCGCGGCGGGCGGGGCCGCGCCCGGGCAGCGGGGGCGCCCCGGGGGCTCGGAGCGGGCCGGGGGCGGCCGGGCCGGGCGGAGCTCGGGCTGCCCCGGGCGGTCCCGGGGCTCGGGCTCCCCCGCGCACCGCGTGCTCGCCGCTCTCCATGGCCGGGGGAAGGCGGGGTCCGCTGGCGCTCTCGGCCGCGCGGGGTTGTTTTCTCCTTAGGAAAACCGAGGAATTCTCTTCCCCGCAGCCGCTTCTCCGGTTTCTCGGCTTTAAACCCTAAAGGTGTCCCCGATAATCCCCGGCGCCGAGCGGCGGCTCCGGCAGCCCCACGGTGGGTGATCAAAGCACGTCCCGCAGGGAGGAGCCGGGTCTGCCCCGTGCTGGGGCTTCACCTTTCACGTCCTCAGATTTTGGAGGAGGCCTTGGCAAACTGAGCCCGTGGCCATGGCAAACCCAGCCGTGGTCTGCCCGCAGGACTCCGCAGCTTCTGGATCAGTCCGCTTGCGAGGGGTGCTGATGGAAGAGGCTCAGTTTGATCGCCAGGGGCGGACCGCTGGTCCTGGCTGTTTAGAGCGTCAGGTACTTGTAGGCAGTTTGTGGTACCAGGCTAATTTCACCATAGTAGAACCAAAGACTGAAGGTGAAAGACTGGGAGGATTCCGGAAAAGCTGGGGTATGATAGAAGCGTCTGCTTAAAGTATTTCCTTGCTGCAGAGTTGCATTTTAATTCTTCGGGGCAGAGCCTCCTCCTAAACCTCACAAGTAAAGTTTCATAAACTCATCTGGAGCTGCCCGGGTCTGCTGTATCCCACTCCCTCTGTGGCTCTGTTGGCCTCCTGCCAGGGGACTGGCACCAGTGGGACGTGGAGGAGGCAGTTTCTATCCTTGGTCTGAAAAGCCCCAGAAGGACGAGCTGCCCCGTCAGTTGTGTAACACCCGTGTCCTGCCCGGCCGCCAGGCTCCTGGGCTTGGTGTGTAACAGTGCTGGTGCCTCGAGATAGCAGAGTGGGGGCTGGAAAGCGGGGGTTTGACCTCTCAGCGGTGTTTAGGTTTGTTTTTTACAGAGCAGACTGGGTGGCACCTCACCCTGAGCATGGGTTGGTGTGTGCCTGGACTCTGTGCCCTCAGGAGGAGGGACCCTGACTTTGGCCTGGCTGTGTGAAGCTTAAGGGCAGATTTTGTAGCTGTTAGTGAAAATGGCAGAAAGCGTCAGAGCCTCAACTATCCCCTTCCCAAGCCAAGAAACAAAGGTCAGGCCGAGTGGGAGCACATACCCTGTGGGACAGTGGGGCTCTGGTCAGGCTGGTCTGCCCCAAGGGTGTCCAGGCTGTTTACACCTGGGGACTGGAGAGGTTGTTTTCAGCTGGAAGGTGACTCTGGAGAACGTTATCTGGTCTCTCTGCCTTCCCTGCTGTTCTGCTGGATCAGATACTGCTGCTGTGCCTGGGAGGCGCCGGGGGAGGCTCTGGCTCAGCTCTGTGGGGAATGTCTGGCCTTTGGGAGCTGATTCCAGTCTGCAGCCTGGCACTCTCTGGAAAATGTGTGAGCAGCCCCGATCGATTCCAGTGGGTTGCTGCTGCCTGTGCTCCTGTGCCTTGGGCTCAGCAGGCGCTTTCCCCAGCCTGGAGAGCCTGGGACTGGGATTGCCTGCTCGGCTTTCTGGTGGGAACAGGGGGAACATTAATCTCATGGGATTGCAAATGGTACTCACTGTTGCTGCTACTTGCTCTGGAGTCTTTTAACCTGTCTGAACTGCACGAGGTACCCTCTAACTCAGAGCAAATAACCTTGCACAGCTTATTTTGTCAGAGTACAGTAATCACCTTGTAGCTGTAAAACCCTTGATCTTTACCAGCTCCTGCTTTAATTCAGGCTGCAGTTGGAATGGACAGGCTTGTACAAGTGCTGTGGGCAGTTCCAGGGCTTGTCAGAACAAGGAATCTTTGATCACAAGCCTGTGGTGTGAAAAGTCCCCCACGGCACACAGGTCATTGGTCCTGGGGGTGGAACCCAGGGTGTGAGAGAGCTGCTCACAGCTGATACCCCTGTCCTGTACATCTCTGGGGACCCCTGGACCTCCCACTTATTTAAAATCAGTCAGCCTTCTCCCAAGAGCATCTTGGCTGCATATGAGGGTCCTTTCTCTTTCAGGGATGCTTATTCTTCAAGACTTTCAAAGCTTTAGTATGTAAAGCTAATTTTTCCTTTGAGAAACGTGGAATTGATTTATTTAGGAGTCAAGCTTAGCTTACAAACTGACTTGTATTTTTCTTCAGTTGGAGCAAACTTAGGTTTGTGACACTGATTTGTTTCTACTCTCACATAAACAGTCCTAGAATTTCCTGTTAAAACATTTTCAGGCGTACAAAAAAACCCTCTCCCAAACCCACCTCCTCTGTGCTTGTATGTCATGGTGCATCAGTGGAGGGTTCTGTATGATCGTAAAGTGCTTTAGACTGAGTGAATTAATTCCTGGAAGGCTCTTGGTGTGCAGGGCCGTCCCTTAGTGCAGGAAGGACATGTGGAAAGCTGAGCTTCTTTGGAAACCTGGCTTAGGGTGAGTCACGTAGTGACCTCGACCTGGGCCTGATGGCTTTTCCCGAAGCTTTTCCCACTGAGCCTCCCTTCCTGCCCGCCCTGGGAAGGGCTCCCAGGGCTGTGGGTGCTGCCCTGTGCCTGCCCTGGAGCCTGAAGACATTTGGCAGCTTCGCTTCCCTCAGCACAGGGACTGACCTTTGGACTGGCTGATTGCAGCACTGAACCCCCTGGCCTCTGGCTGCAAGGGCAGAGTGAAAAATCCCTGAATTCCAGCCTGCAGCTGCTGCCTGTGCCTCTGATCTGTTTATTGCTAGTTCAGTTCTGCAGGCTGGTCTTGCCTGAGATGAAAAGTCTGATTTCACTGTTTGTATGACAACAAATTTACATGTTAACCCACCTGGCTCAGGGCGTCTTGCAGACTGCAAGACCTTTCTCCTCCAGCCATGGCACAGCGAGGGGGGCCTGGGCCCCAGCCAGCTCCCAGTTATGGTCAGCCAGCCTTGGGGCTGTGCAGGGAGGGGGAATGGGCATGTTCCTCTCGGGGAGGGGGGCACAGGGAAGCACTTGTCCCATTTTACCCAAACTGACTTGGAGGGGCTCAGTCTGTGCTCTGGCACTGCCACCCTCTCTGCAGCAGGACACGTGTTGGGGTCCCACCACCTCGATGCCCCCCAGCCTTTCGTGGTGACGTGACCTGTGCAGCACCTTGCCAGAGCACGGGCTGGGGACTGTGGAGGCTGCATAAACCCTCACAAAAGAGTCTGGAACTGCAAGTGCTGGGGGCTGTGGAGCGTTGCAGCCCTTGGTCTGCCCCGGAGGCACGGCCGTCCCTCGCAGTAGGTGGGCGATGCTGTGGGTGTCCAGTTTGGATAGTGGCAAACACAGAGTGCTGTTTTGTCTGTGCTGGTTTTGCAGCGGAGCCGCAGGAGATATGAAGTGAACAGCCCTGTCTGAGCCAGGCAGAGTTCAGAGCGTGGAGGGAGGGAGGGTAGGTAGAGTGCGCTGATCTGGAGATGATGTGCAGCCTCTTCTCAGTCGCTGAGGGTTATTTTTGCTTGTAGAAGGTGAATTCTTGCTTTGCACTAACACTTTGCACTAATACCTCTCCAACTCATAGCTGGCTTTATAAAGTCACCGCTGTCTCAAAAGAGACTGACTCAGGACAGCGTGGAGTTGTACTGCGAGGCGATTGGCAATCCCATCCCCGAGATCCAGTGGTGGTTTGAGGGGAACGATCCCAATGAGACCTATGCTCAGCTCTGGGATGGCGCACGGCAGGACCGTGTCAAAATCAACGCCACCTACAACCTGCACTCTACCAGTACCATCTACATCGCAAACCTCACGAGTGACGACTCAGGCATGTATGAGTGCCGGGCTAGCAACGATCCCGACCGCAACCACTTGTCGAAGAGCCCCAAAGTCAAGTGGATCCGTTCCCAGGCGAACGTTTTTGTCATCGAACGTGAGTGGCCACGTCGAGGCCTTGGCACTTGCTCGGACACTGGTGTCTTGAGTCTCCTGCCATGCTCACCCCTGCACCCGTGTCCTGTGACTCCCAAAAGCTCCCCCACCCTCCCACCCCCCGCTGTAGAACTGAGAGACTCCCACCCTCTGTCGACTCCCCACCACCTGTGACTTGACCCGAAATGGCCCTGCTCAAAAAGGGTTGTGGCTTCCCAACCAATTCGCCCTCCGGCAATCCTGCGCCTTTTCCGGAGCCAAAGACCTGGAACCTGCCGCTTATCCCCGAGTGCCTTCGAGCCCTGGTGTGGCCGCAGAATTGAGCCTTGATTCTGCGGTCGACTCTGCCCTAACCACCACTGACCAGCGGCCCTTTCCTGCGGCTCCTACAGCTCCCGCTCCTCTCAGCAGCCCTGCTTTGAGCTCGCTTCTGTGCTGGTGACCCAGGCTGTGGGGAACAAAACCTGCTTTGAGGTCTGAGATGCAACCATTTTTGAAATGGCCGTGTCTGTGTGACACTGAGTGTGATGTCATTGCTTGTCCTGTGGACGTGGCCAGGTTCCCTCTCGCAGAGCGGGCGGGCGAACGCTGGAGCGCACGGACTGCTCTGAGTGATAGAAACCTGGGAGGGAGCTTAACATCCCGGTGAGGTCTTCCCATGAGTTAGATGGGCACAGCTGCCTTCTCAGCAGAAATGTGCTAGGAAATGCAGAACTCCAGCAGAACCTTCTTCCAGTGGAATTTGGATAGGAGGAAAAGCAAAGTGCCTGTCAACCCTGGCAAAAACTCTTCCTTCCAAGGGACGGAGGTTGGGCGGAAGGGTAGGGACCGTAGTGCCACCAGGGCTGTGTAATGGTGCTGCTGGTGGCAGCTGCCTTCTCGGACAGCCTCCTATGAGTAGAAATGCCTGAGTCATCTTATGTTGCTTAATTTACTGCTGCCTGGCACATGGAGGCCCAGGGCCTTTTGGAGTCACGGCTCTGTGTTCTCCCTGGAGTAATTCTGACTAAACCCTTTGGGTTGCCTCAGATGAAGCACATATTGCTGCCACACGGTCTGGTCTGCTGCCCCTTGCAACAGAGGGTCCTGACTGCCCTCTGTGTTACCTGGAGGTGTCTGAAGCTGCTCAGGTGGCAGGAGGTGTTGACATATGAGTGCTCCGGTGGCTCACAGCAGCAGAGAGCTGTGCTCTGCCCTTCAGAGTGACCTTTTCCATTGCTTATTGAGCACTGGGCTCTGCTGGGGCTGCACCCATGGTAGCAACAGTAGAGGCTCCAAGTGATGCAGGACACAGCAGAGGTCCTGCTTGTAGGGGAGCAGCTGCAGGGTCAGCGTTGCTGTCCCAGGTGCACTCAGGCCCAGTCACCTGGTGCTGGGGACTGTCTGCTGCTGGCACTGTCAGGGCTGGTAGGGAACTCTGTATGAAGGTAAGTGGGAGCTGGGATAGACGAGGAGCTGTGGGGTTTGTGTTGCAGGTTCTTGGGCCCCATGTCAGCTCTGCAATACCCTGTGTTAACTTAAATCCAATTCTTTATGAACGCAGGTCCGGACATCAAGGCTCATGTCGCTGAGGATTCTGGCAAGCTGGTCCTCACCTGTAACATGTCTGGGCCATACTCCACCATCAAGGGCCACGAGTGGGTGCATGGGGACAAGGTCCTGCAAGAGGACGAGACCGACAGTGCTTTCACCAGCTACACGTGAGTGTCAGGGCAAGGTCAGAACCTGAGCATGGGCATGTTTTTTCCCGGAGGCAGTTGCTGTTTGCTGTCAACTGGACCCAGGGCTGAGTGCTTGTAGCCCTGCTGATGACAGGCCTTTGGGACTGTAGAGCATAGGATGAGCTGGACAGAGTTTTGGTAAGGCCCAACACTCTCCTTTATGGGGAGGAGGGGACAAAAAGGGGAAGGAAGGGATGGTTTTATGCCACAAATATCCTCGTAGAGCAGTTCTGCTGTTCGTGTTTGTAAGCAGGTGTTCAGCTGGGCTCTGGTTTGTCGGGCACAGCATGTTGGGCCTGGTCATTGTGCCAGAGCTGTTCCCCCAGAGCTTTGAAGTGAGAGGCTCCAGTGCATGTTGTCTCTCCTGGGGGCTTTTTGTGCCTTTCCAAAGTCCAGCTGTTCTCACAGGAGCTGGGTAGCTGCAGTGAGCCGTGGTCCGTGCTCAGTGTGGGAACACCAGCCTTGTTGTGGCAGTGCAGTGAGCTTTCCTTTCCGATTACAGTCAGGCCTGGCTGGCACTGACCCAGCAGCTGTGGAGGCATCATGTCCCTTTGTATGGCAGTGCCGACGTGCCTGTCTCCCCATAGCAACAGGGAGCTGAACAAGGATTAAAGTATTTATAACCCAGCCTCCCTCGCGTGACCTCAATTCCTCAGCTGAGTGGTTTTTGGAAGTGGGAAGCGCCGTGCACAGCAGAACTAACAAACAGCCCCTTGTCCCAGTGCAGCCACGGGACAAACTCTGTGGGCCCCTTCCCTCGAGTGGGTATTACTGAGCAGCAGAATGGATGTTTGTTGCGGGGCTGCATAATCCACTAAATCTCATTGCAGCAGCTTTACAGGAAGGAGAACGGGAGAGTTCTCCCTGTGCTGGGATTGATCCAGAGTAGCCCAGCCTAGATGATCTTTGCCCCTGCTTTGCCCTGTGTTTCAGTGGGCTGGAACAGTGATCTCTGACTTGACAGACCTGTGCCAGATGTGGTGCACGTGAAAGCCTCTTCTGCCCTCCTCAGTGTGTGGGGAGGGGAGAGTGGAGAGTTGGGTTGCTGTAGGTACATGGTGCAGCATAAATACTCTTCTGGAAAGGGAGAAATTTGCTATAGAGGAGGTTGCTGATGCTTATGGATGTCTGATTCCATGGCTCTGGAGGTCGGTGGGTAAGTCAGTTGTGCTGGATGCTTACCTGAATCCTGTTTTTGGTAGAATCGAGGGGAAGATGGAGGAGCACTCTGGCATGTATGAGTGTGTCTACAAAACCAGCCCGGAGATAAGAGGACAAGTGAATATTTCAGGTAACTTCATGTGTTTGCTTCTGGGTCTGAGGAGGGGCATGGGGGAGCTGTCATCTCCTGAAAACTTTGCTGCGGTGTCTTTTCAGCTTCTTGAGGGGCTGCTCCCAGCCCTTACCTGGCTGCAGGGCTCTGTGTGCCGTGTTATCAGGCAATGCTGTGTCTGCAGGGTCCGCTCTTAGATCCTGCATTCCCGTGGGCATGTTCCCACAGGAAAACTGGGAGAAGGATAGTACCTGGTGGACAAATCTGTCTGAGCCTTTCTTGAAGCAGCTTGATTTGCTTTCCCCTCTGAAAATGCCAAAGTAGAGAGAGGAACAGCCTTACTGAGGTCAAGCTTTGGGGTAACTGCCTGATTTTGTGAGGTGTTGCAGAGAGCACAAATCTATGTGATTTCTATAGTGAGCTGTTTGAATTTCTTGTTCTCCTGCTGTAGTTGCCCCCCAGGTGACGGCATACAAGAAGTCTGAGCATGGCAACGAGGGGGACACAGGTGTGCTGACCTGCAAGAATCCCTCTTTCCCCCCTGTCACCACTTGGTCCTGGTCCAAAAATGGTGAAAGTGTAAGTGCTGTGATTTGCTCCTTCTCCCCTTCTGCCAACCCTCCTGCCCAGCACAGAGGTGGGGGAGCTTGTGCCATCAGAATTGAGTCTTTCAAAGCTCAGTGCCCCGGGAAGGAGGATTTCTGTGGGGGTTGGACCATGCACGGTCAGTCAGCGCTGCCCTCAGAGCTCTCTTACTCCTCCTCCTCCCTCCAGGACCTACAGAATGCCTCTGGGAGATACATCATCAAGTCCAGTGGCAACAAGACAGAGCTGCGCATTCTGAAGCTGAACATCGAGGAGGACACGGGCGACTATCGCTGCAATGCCGTCAATTCCTACGGCTCCGGGGACGCCACGGTGAACCTGCGCGTCCGCAGCCGCCTGGCAGCGCTCTGGCCTTTCCTGGGCATCGTGGCAGAAGTCCTTGTTCTTGTCACCATCATCTTCATCTATGAGAAGAGGAGGAAGCCAGATGAGGTTCTTGATGGTAGGAGGTGCCTGGGTTTAAATCTCTGGGGGGAGATCAAGTAACTTGTTGGGTGTCAAGATGGGCTCGCAGGGAACTCTGAGGTCCCCTTGTCAGAGGGGGTTGATTTGAGGGTGGGCGCTTGTGAAACAAGGGCAGTCTGCACCGTGCCACCTCAGACATGAACTGCCTGTAACTGCTGTTTCTGGCAGTCCAGTAGTGAGATGGAGCAAGAGAGGATTCGGTGCAGGTCAGCCTGACCCTTTGCCTCACCAGTACCTCTGCTCCTTGCTCAAGTATTTCCTGTGTCTGCAGGGCTGGGTTTGCTTTGGCAGCTCCCAGTCTGGAGAGGGTGGTTTGTAAATAAGAAGTAGAGCTTTTGTGGTGCTGTAAAACTGTGGGACTCTAAGTAGCTCAGCAAGACCAGGCTTAGCTTGTGTTCAGCTCAGAATGTTTTGGGTCATCAGATCAACACATCCTGGATCTCAAAGCCCAGTACTATCTTTAATCTCTTCTGGAAGCACCAGCTCCTCCCTTTCCTTATCGTGAGGATCTGCATTGTGTCAGCTGGGTCGCCCTTATCTGATCCCGTTAACAATGCAGTGTGAATGCTCAGTATCCTTCCTGCCCCGGATACTGCTGGGCCCCTCAGCCCCCTGAGGAGAGGTGCAGCAGAGGGGCTAAGGCCTAATATCCGTCTTCTGACTGCAGGGCTTGGAATTCCACTCAAGGCAGTTTTACAAGCAGATGTTTTGCCCTCTGACACCCCTGGCTGGTGGAAGGCAGGTGTCCTCTTAAGGAAGTTGTAGCTGCATCTTCCAAGTGGTTCTCTCTCCCCAAAAGTCCCTGTAGCTTTGCCCCTCCTTAGAGGAGGTGACAGTGAGGCCTGTCTGACCCAGTTCCTCCCAGTACTGGCTGAGAACTGAACACTCCTGTCACCTGGGTTGGGATGGGGACAGTCCAGCCTGTGTTTGGTGTGATATTCTTGCTGGTGTTACCTGTCCACTCTTCCCTTCTCTGCTGCTGGGTGCCACCTCACATGGTAAGTAGAAGGTAGTTCCAGCCACGTGTCTGCCTCTGTCCTCTCACCAGCTGTGAGCAGATCCTGGTGCCCAGGGCAGTCCCAGTGCCTGGAGTGTGGGGCTTGGGGTCACTTGAGGGGAACCAGGGCTGTAGAGGAGGCAATGGGGGGGAGCAGAAGGAGATGTCTGGGAGCCTCCTGTTGGGAGGTGGCAGATTGCAGGGAGCTGGTGAAAGGCCTCAGGGCTTGGCACGTGTTGGCAGAGGTGTTTCCTTAGCTGTGCTGCTCAGTGTAGCCAGAACGTGGTGTGCAGTGTTTGTTTTGATATCACAACATGTGGGAAGGGAAAAGGGCTTCCTGCCGCTGCTTAAAGCCCCTATTCCTGAAACATCCTGTTTGGTTTCCCCTTTACCTGCTGTGAGTGTGCTCAGATTTGGGAGCCATCCCAAGTCATGGAGCTGTGGGGGCGGGTGCAGATGGGTCGGGGCAGTGCTGCCATCTCACCAGAGGAGCTGTGGCTCTTTCCCATTTTTAAGTGGTGGTGGGAATGCTGCCTGGAACATAGTCCCCAGTGCTTTAAGAGGAGGCAGAGGTCACTTTGTACGTGCTCTTCCCTGACGCTGTTTGTTCTTTCTTTCCATGCTGTCCCGAATGTGAAGATGATGATGGAGGCTCTGCACCACTGTGAGTACCTTTCCTCTTCCTATTTAGCCAGATTTGTGCTGACAGATCTCATCCAGCCAGGGAATCTGCTCTGAAGATAAAAACTGGCTGGTGTGGGGCAACACTCGGTGTGCTGGGTGGGAATATGTCTCCCCATGGCTCACTAAATGTCCCTGTGTGTAAACCACACGTACCTGGGGTGGCATTGGTGTCTGACACTGCTCTGGGAACTGATCTCCTGCTGAGCTGCACCATCTGTTTGGACCTGTATTACATGAGTGGGCCGGGGAGGGGGGCTTTCTGCTCTCCCTTTCCTCATGTCCATCCTTTCTTCCCAGGAAGAGCAATGCCACAAACCACAAGGACAAGAATGTCCGCCAGAGAAATGCAAACTAGGAGTGGGGCCAGGTGAGTGTCAGGCCTGAGGGCAGAGCCACACCTGGGGGCGAGAGCTGCAGTGTCTGTGTCTGCAGAGGGTCTCTGGGAGAAGCTGAAGCATCTGTGGAGCCAGAGGCTCTTCTGGCCCAGCGTGGGCTCCACCAGCTCCCTCTAGCACAGTGCAGCCCTACTGGTGCAACTGGGTTATCTAACTGGCTTTTCTTTCTCTCCTGCCAGGTGACATGTAGATGAAGAACTCGTCTGGACAATTTTGGTTTCTTCTATTTTTTTGGTAAAATAGCACCACGGAATATTCTAGTGCATCCTTGAGATTCAGTTACTTCACTTTCTAAAGAAACTTAAGTTGTAGAATCTAAAATACACTTCTTTTTTTTTAAAGAGCCATGGGAGGGTTTTTCTACCTGTAAATGTAAATCCCCTGTTCCCGATAGTCTAGGTCCCTGGCTGTCTCTGTCCTGGGTTTCTTTGTGTTGGTACAGAGTGGGGGGGTGGGAGCCACCTTGTCCCACCTGCATGTGGGGGTGAGGGAGGAGCTGCTTTGGTGGCTGTCAGGAGGTGACACGATCTGACCAGAGGATTCAGGAGGGGAGTTCTGTGTTTTTCCCAGTGCATCACCTGGAGCAAGGCTGCACCTGTCCCTGGCAAAGGGCATGTTCCTGGCCAGGCAGATTCCCAGTTAGCCCCTCCTGAGCTGTTCTTGGTTCCTCTGAAACAGGCAGCCAGGAGCAGTTAGAGCTGGACACTGGATAAATGATTGCTGTAACTTATTCCATGGGTGGTTCATGTCTCTGCCGTGGGGATGGGGCAGGGTGAGCTGGGGCTGGGGGTGGTTTGAGTTTTAACTGTGTGCTTGTGCTTGAGCCATCGCAGTGTGTGCGTGACATGGGGGCTTATGAGCAGATGAGTGCTCGGGGGAGTCTAACACCTTTACTGCTGGGTAGCATCGAACTGTTCCATCTGTTAACACTTCACAAATAAAAATGATTCCTCTCTCTTTTTTCCACCTCTGGACTCTGGTCTCTTCCCTCTGGGCTGCCTGACCCTCTGGCTGCAAAAACACGATGCTGTGTCTCAGTTTGGTGCCAGCTTTGGCTGCCTTCTAATTGCTGAGGAGTTGCAGCTTGATGGGTGTAAAAGGCCTCCCTGGAGGGAGGGAGTGGTGCTCCCTGCTCTGCTCCCTGAGGAGCACCGGGCACACTTGCCTGTTTGGGACAGGTCTCGCTTTGCCCTGCTCTGCAGTTCCTCAGGCCTTGTGGCTGTGGGGTCAAGGATCAGCCTCAGTCCCCAGGAGCCCTCACAGGACGTGCTGCCTGTGTGTCTTGTGCTTCTCTAAGCAGGTTTTTTTCCTGCTCTTTCTGGGGCAGGAAAGTGAGCAAAAATGTGAAACCTTTGTGCACAGAGCAGGGCTTGGGGGAGAGGACTGAGGATGTGGTGGTGGAGGTCTCTTCTTGCTGCCAGCCTTGAGCTCAGGAGGCTTTTTGCCAGCATTCCTGCCCCTGCAGTGAGGCAGTGAAGGCCATGGGCTGAAGGGAAGCTGCCATGTGCTCCCAGCTGGCCTAAGGTAACTGTGTGCTCTGCTCCTGGCAACTGGCTGAACCATGGCCGTGCTCTGTAGCCAGACACTTCTTCCTTTTAAGGGCCTGGGAAGGGTCAAGGGGAGAGTGGCTTTGATAGCTAAACTGTGCCCAGAGAACTGCTGGCAGCTTGGAGCTGTGGTAGCTGCATCCCTCCTGTCAGTGCTTCTGCCTCGCTGTGCCATCAGCTGGCCTTGGGCTGTGCGGGCAGCAGGGCTCTGCAGCCTGTAAGTGGGTTATGCAAGGCTTTCACAGCCGGCCTCATGCTATCCTGGTGAAAAATCAATGCATGGCTTAATTTTCCTTGATGAGGATTATGGGTCCTGCCTGACCCAGCTCTTGGCCACAGCACAAAGAACCACTTGTGCCTTTTGTTTGACTGGGCAGGGACGGGGGGGGGACAACAGCCCTGGGAGCTGGGCAGGGGGTGGAATGGCATAGTGCTGCTCTCTGCTGGGCCTGTGGCAGCTGCCCCTGTGAGCCCAGGCACGGCCCTGCCGTGGCCCAAGGACGGCCACGTGGAACCCTGCACAGGGACGGCACAAGCAGGCCTTGGCTGCAGTGCCCCTTTCTGTCCTGGGGAGAGAGTTGGTGCTCTGGGCACTGCGGGGACCCCGCTCAGCCCCTGCCTCCTGACGCCTTGGCTCCAGCATCTCCAGCCTCCAGTTCAGCTTAAGCTGCAGCACCGGTCTCTCCTCTGGGCTGGGGGCAGCTGAGGAGCTGCAGTGCTGTTCTCCGGGGATGGTTTGGAGAAATGGGCTGTTCTTGAAGGCAGCCGTGCCAAGCCCGGGGAGTGATGTTACAGAATGGGGCCCCTGTGGCCCGCAGCGCAGCTTTTGGGGTGTCTCCGCCCGTGGGGTCCGTGCAGGGGCTGCAGCTGCCCCGCCCCGGGCACGGCGCTGGCTCCGGGACGCGCTGCCCGGTGCGGTTCTATCCCGTGGCACCAGGTGGTGCCACCGCCGCGGCCTCGCTGCTCGCCCGGCTCCGCCACCCCACGGGGCCCTCCCAGAGCCGCGGCCCCAGGGTGGGGCGGCTCCGGTCCCGTGTCCGGCTGCTCGGGGGTGCTCGGAGCTCACCCGGGCTCCTCGTCCGGCGTGCCTCGACGCCTCGCAGCCCGGGGGAGCCGCAGCGGGACAAGCACGTTCCCGGAGGAGAGGGCAGGAGGTGCCGGTCCCTATGCCCTGTTCTCTGCGCCCAGGGCATCGGCCTCGTTGGCGGGTGTCCGCTGCGGTGGGGTCCAGCTGCGGCTGCTGGCCCTGTCCCGGGGTGTCAGACCGGGGGCTTCATCCCTCGGTCTACCCCGGGGGTTCCTGCTGCCCGTGGGCTCGGTGCAGGGGGCTCAGCGCTGGAGCGGTGGGCACCAGGGGCTGTGGGAGGGCGAAGCCCCCGTGCCTAGCGCGGAGGTGGTGTCCATGCCCGCCTCGGGCAGCGCTCCCTTCCCGGCGAGGCGGCTGGGCCGGCAGAGCCCCGCGGGGGGAGCGCCCGGCCCCGCACCGGGGACTGTGCTGCCGGGGTCCGGGGCTGTCGGGGCTCAAGGTGAACGATCCGTCCCGGTAGCCGGTCCCGCCGGCGAGCGCTGTGCCGGAGGGGGGAGCTGCGGAGCCGCCCGGCCCCCGGCCCGGCCCCGCTGCCCGCCCCCGGCCCGCCCCGGCCCGCCCCCGCCGCGGCGGCGGGTGCCACTGTGCCGCCGGTGGCCTCGGCGGCGGCAGCGGCGGCGGGATCGGGATCGGGATCAGGATGCGGGCGGGCCGCGGCGCGGCGGGCGGGGAGGCGGCGGCCGAGGAGGAGGCGGCCGATGCGGCCAAGCGCGGCGGGGCGGCGGCGACTGGACGGGCGCGGGGCCGCGGCGGGAAGGGGTCCCCGAACGGCGAGTGCCGTCGCGGGGACCCTCCGCGCAGCCCCGGCCCGGAGCCGCCTCGCGAGCCCAAGGTCTCCTTCTCCTGCGGCGGCGGCGGCGCGTCCCCCGGCGGGGCCAAGGCAGCCGAGGAGGGCGCGGGCGAGGATGCGGGCGAGGAGGTCCGCGGGAGCCAGGCCAGCTTCATGCAGCGGCAGTTCGGGGCGATGCTTCAGCCCGGCGTCAACAAGTTCTCGCTGCGGATGTTCGGCTCGCAGAAGGCGGTAGAGCGGGAGCAGGAGCGCGTCAAGTCGGCGGGGGCCTGGATCATCCATCCCTACAGCGACTTCAGGTGCGGCGGTACCCGCGGGGCTCGGCCGCATCCCGCATCCAGCATCCTGCGGGGGCCGGGCATCGGGCCGGGCCGGGGAGCAGGGCCGCCGGTGCGGCCGGGCCGAGGGCACCTTGAGCCGCCGCCGGGCGCGGGAGGGGCCGAGCCAGGCATCCCCCTCCCCAGCGCTGCCGAGCCAGGCATCCCCCTCCCCAGCGGAGCAGCCGCCGCCCCGGGGATGCCGGGAGCACTCTCAGTGCCCGGGCAAGGGCGTCCCCTCGTCCTTCCCGGAGCCTCGGCAGGCTCGGCCCCCCTTAGCCCCACCGGGCCTTGGCTCTGCCCCTGGAGCACCCTGCGGTTCGGGGTCCCCCTCCCCGGGGAAGTGCCAGTGCTGGGTGGGGGGGATGTGCTGTGCCACTGCCAGGCAGAGCGTTGTGATGATTCCCCCTCCCCCATGGAGGCCTGATCCTGTCCCTGGGGTTCAGCCAGTTTGAGGGGGATTCTTCCCACTTCTGAGAGGACTTGAGTCCCCAAGATCCAGCCTGTGTGTCTTCCAGGTGAGGAATGGCAAACCCAGGAGAAAAGCTCTGCAGCTCCATCTCCTTCCTGGCCCACGAGCCCTGGGGAGCTCTGGAGTGGCAAACATTTCCCTAGTCGTGTGAAAGCTGCTGGGAGGGAGGGATGGCTGGCTGCACTGTCGGGGGCAGGCAGCATCGCACCTTGCAGGGATGGAGGGGGGCCGAGACCCTGCTGGTATTACTAGTGAGCCAGCGCTGGGGCTGAACCAGTTGGTTCAGTGACCTCAAAGGGGCTGGGGGAGCCTTCTTCCAGAGGCCACTGGGGCTCAGGGGCTCAGCTCTGAGTCATTTTGACTCTGCTGGTGCATGGTTTGGGGCAGCTCAGGGGAGGGTTCACTGGGTGCCTGGGTGGGGGATGTCCCTGAGCCAGACCTCAAATTCTGTTCTCTCCTAACACTGACGAGTCTCCACAGCATAGGGCTCCCTGAGGCAGGTGGAGGTGGCCATGGGCTCAGGGCAGGGACCAGCACTTGCATCTCCTGCTGCCGCCCTCATGCGCTGCCCTGGGCTGATCTGGCATCTTCCAGAGGAGCAGTTGGAGGCCCTCGGCCTCCCCCTGGGGCTGCCTTCTTGCACAGGGTCTTGCGCCCTTCCACACTGTGGCTACACAGTGGAGCTCCCTCCTCGTCTCACTGGCTGGGCATCGAGTTCTGCTGCAGGGCCGGGCTGAGCAGTGTCTGCACCGCCTGGTCACTGCTGGTCCTGCAGTGGAGGGAGCTCCACTGGCCCTGCTGTGACAGAGCAGAGGTGGTGGTGCCAGGTAGATCCTGGGGGACTGGGCCTGTCTGCACTGCCCATGCTGCTCCTCACCCTCAGCAGCTGTGGGCTGTTGCTGGGGCTGGGAGCAGAGTGACCCCCGTGCCTGCCCCAGGCCAAAGCCTGCCCAGCTCCTCTGACCTGGCAGAGCCGCGGTGCTGGAGGCAGAGTCCACGGTGCTCCTGAGAGCAGGGTCTCCCTGCAGTAAGCTTGCAGTGGGCTCGAGGCCTCAGAGGCTTCTCCAAGGTCCAGCAGCATTGTTCCCTGGACTGGTACTTGCAGCGAGCAGGCGGGTGCCAGGGTGACCTTGGAGAGTCACCCTGACTGTCCTGCCCAGCGCGGGCTCCATCCTCCTGGAGCCGCTATCAAGACTTGAAACCCATTGGGGCAGAGTGTCTGCCTGTGTTTTGATACTGGAAGTGGCGTAGGAGAGTTCCCTGCCCAGCGGGGAGGAGCTGCAGGCAGAGCCACGGCATCCTCCAGCTCCACAACCATGCTCAGGAACAGGATCAGCCCACGTGGGGCTGAGCCTGGGCGTGAGGAACCCGCTCTGCCTGTGCATGTTGGGGACGTGTCCATCCGTCCCACGTTGTCCTGCCTTAAAATAATCAAAAAGCATTTATCCAATAATGATAATGGAGCGTGACCTGGTCGTGTTTGCCCTGCAAAACCCATTACCCATCTGCATCTGTGATATCATTTCATAATCATCGTCATTTAATGATCCTGACTTCTCATGGCAATGGCACTGCCATCGTTCACCCACAATTCAGGACACATTTGCTCCAGGAACCGAGGTTGCTATTTACATAAATATTGAATGACGAGGAAGCAGCCAGGGCGGCTGGTGAGATCCTGAGCTGCAAATCTGATAAAAGAGACCTTGTAAGTGTGTGCTGGAGCAGGGCCACATCCTTTTGGGTGCTGGGCAGTGGTCGTTGGTGGCTTTGCCAATTCTGGTCTCTGTTTTGGGAGGAACAGCCCAGCCAGTGCCAACTCCATCGCTTCTGTTGTGGTTTCTGCACCAGCCCCGAGGAGCTGCTCTGGGGCTGTGGGAGCTGTGCACAGCCGGTGATTTGGGGATGGTGGCAGTGCCCATCACCCTGTGATTGCTGAGTGGCTGTCCAGGGGCTACACTGGCATCCCCCAGTGCCAGCCTGGCACCCACAGCCTTCTATGAGACTGGGTTGGGACCAGGGTTGGGGCTGAGCACGGGGTTCTCACTGCTGGTGCATTTCTGTTGCAAGAGCTGCTCTCACAACTGAATTGGGGGCAAAGATGATTCCAGAGCACATGTCCCTGGTGCTGCTTGGCCAGAGACTTCCTCATCCAGGGTTGAATGGTTTCAGGGGCTTTCCCTCTGCCTGCATGGTGCCACTGTGGGGGCTACTGAGCAGAGGGACCGGGCTTGCCAGCTGCTCTTGCTCCTGATGGATGTGCCAGCACTGCCACTGGTCCTGATGTTCCCATTCCCTCTGGTCAGGGTGTTGGGGAGCTGGACCCTTATTCTGCAGCATCAGTGTGGGGCAGTCGGACCTGGGAGTGCTGAAAGCCATCACTCGGTCACTGGGGAGGAAAGGCTGGGACTGGCTGGGGGGATTGTGAAGGTTTGGGTCCTTGAGCAGTTTGCAAAGCCTTTACCCCCCTCCCCAGGAACTCCCAGGGTAAAAGGCTTTTCCAAGAGAGAGCGGCACCAATCATTCATCACAGCTGACTCTGCTGGGATCTGGAGGTGCAGATGATGTTGGCCACCACTGCTCTCTCAGCTCGGGCAAACTTATGCCATTGGCTTTGTAACACACTTCTCATAGCAACCTCATTTTTAGGATATGAGTATTTAGTGTGAGTTTGCAAAGTGCCAATCCTGTGCTGATTGATCCTGCACTGATCCTGTGCTGCTCCTGCCCACCAGGCAGCCTGATTGTTTGCAGCTGGGCCTCGTCAGGGCTGAAGGGCTCAGACCTCAGGGGATCCTCCTGCAGAGGGGGGTCTTGGGGAGCTCCATACTGCTGGGCAGGCTGGCGCACGTGCAGCTCACTGCCGGGCTACGGGATCGGCATAAAGGGGTGTCGCTGGATTGTCTCCAGCAGACCCTGGAGCTCTGTGTGCTGCCAATGAAGTTGAGCAGGGACCACCCTGGCATACCTGCCTGTGCCCCCCTGTATGGCTCGTCCCCAACTTGTATCTTGCCCAGGACCTCAGAGCAGCACCACCGTGCCAGGCGTTGGGCGGGTGACAGAGCGGAAAGGCGGCAGCCCCCGCTCGTGGGGGCTTTGGGCACCTCCTGTCATCATCACTGTCATACAATTGGGTCAGAAGCAAGGGAGGGATGTCAAGGATCCTGATTAATTTGTTTTCAGATATTTTTAGTAGCCTGGATTGGATCTTTTCTTCCATGCACATGAACCCTCCAAGGAAGAAAGCGTTGGCATCGCACCCCGGTCCCCGGGGCGATTGCACAGGGTCAGTTGTGTGCGGTGGGGGAATCAGGAGCAGTTTATCTTTTCTCTGCAGGCTGAATTCTGCCCTGGCTCAGCCAGATTGCAAAGGAATTGGAGCCAGAGGAGAGTTTTGCCCAGCTGGCGAGGTTATTTAATCTTTGTTCTTCGCAGCTTTGCATGGCTAATGCCCCCGTGGGACCTGCGCAGCACAGCAGGGTCAGTCAGAGTGGGAGCTGCCAGGGGTCTGGGGACAGATCCAGCCCCACAGTGACTCTGCTGACTCTGGCATCTCTGGCAGGTCGTGCTGTGTGTGGGAGCCTGGGGGTCTGGCCAGGCCCACCACGGCCATGGCCTCGCTGCCTGTTTGGTGCCAGCAGCTGAAGCTCGGTGTAGGGGTAGAAGGGGGGCACAGTTCCTTTGCCGAGGGTGCCCTGGGGACCGCCCTGGTGTGAAGTCATCGTTTTGCAGCGGTGACATCACTCACAGTTGCCACAGCAACACCTCACATGGGGAAGGTGTCATTGGAGAAAGGTCAGGAGCTGGGATGTTCGGCTCCTGGTCCTGCGCTAGTCTGCGCAGTGGGGGGGACCCGGCCCATCGCCCCTTTCTGTGTGTGGGGGGGTGTCTCCCCCTCGTCCCCCCACCCCAGGGCACCGCGTGCACGGCACGGCGATGGCACCCCCTGCCCATCATTCCACAGCTCTCAGAGACCCCTGCCTAGGTGGGCTGAGCAGACGTGTGGGCGAGGGTCCTGAGTGTCCCTGCACGTGCACTGAGGAGCATCCCCCCCCCTCCTGCCCCCCGGCCAGAGCAGGGAGGGCCGAGGTGGCCTCCACGCCATCCTGCCACGACAGAGCTGCTGTGACCTTGCAGATGCTCAGAAAGGTCGTCGGTGGCCCAGGAGAGGGGACGAGGAGAAAGGGAAGAAGAATGGGGTGAGCCGGGAGGGGGCGGAGGGGCCGCGCAGCCCAGGCAGGGGCGGGGGCAGGGGCAGAGGCGGCCGCCCACCCACTCACCGCCCCCGCGTCTGGCCGGGGCTGCGGGCGCTGCCGCCGCCAGCTGCAGCCGTACGTGCTCCGCTGCACCGGAGCCGCGGCGGCTCCTTCCATCGCAGCCGCGCTGCGGGGACTGACGGGCAGCCCCACCCTGGCACCCCCCAAATCGGGACCCCAGCCTGGCCCGGGGGCGCGGAGTAGGGTGGCCCTGACTGTCCCTGTGGACTGACCGCTGTCCCCCTTCTGGGAGCAGGAAAGGGGGGGACTGCTCCCACCAATCTCCCGTCCTGCCTTCACCTGTGACGTAGAGTGATGCCGATGGTCTGGGGGACTCCTCAGCCCACGGGCTTCCCCGGGGCAGCTCGGCCGGAGGGTGCCCCCCTCCAGTGTTTGGCATCATCATTCTCCTCTCCCCCCATGACCTGCTGCCTCCGGCAGCCCAGTGGGAGCCTCCAGCCTCATCCTGCACCTTCCTCTACACCTCAGTCAGGGGCTATGCTGGTTGCAAGATCACCCCAGGGACAGTCTGGAGAGGGGGGAGCAAGGTGTAGTCTCTGGGGAGAGGGAGGTTCCTGTGGCTGAGGTGTCATCACACTGGCAGCACCCCAGTAGCGTGGGTCCTGGAGGGCAGGGCACTGTGGCCATGTCCCCTCGGCATGGGGGGCAGCTATGGGGCACTGGTGACACCCCCCCTCCATCTTCTCACTCCCCAGATTCTACTGGGACTTCACGATGCTGCTCTTCATGGTGGGCAACCTGATCATCATTCCTGTGGGCATCACCTTCTTCAAGGAGGAGACCACAGCACCCTGGATCGTGTTCAATGTGGTCTCTGACACCTTCTTCCTGATGGACCTGGTGCTGAACTTCCGGACAGGGATTGTCATTGAGGACAACACGGAAATCATCCTGGACCCTGAAAGGATCAAGAAGAAGTACCTCAAGACCTGGTTTGTGGTGGATTTTGTCTCCTCCATCCCCGTGGACTATGTTTTCCTCATTGTGGAGAAGGGCATAGACTCGGAGGTCTACAAGACCGCCCGTGCCCTCCGCATCGTCCGCTTCACCAAGATCCTCAGCCTCCTGCGGCTCCTCCGCCTCTCCCGGCTCATCCGCTACATCCACCAGTGGGAGGAGGTGAGAACCTGCTCTGGGGCCTGCTGGCAGCACTGGGATGGCTGGAGAGAGTGGGAGCTGGAGGGGCCCCTGCGAGAGTGGCAGGGCTGGGGGCTGCCTGAAGAATGGACAGGGTGGAGGGGATCTGCAGGGCTCTGTGTGGGGCCATTGGGTGGATGTGACCCTTCCTGGAAGGTTTGGGGCATCTCTGGGCCATGGTACATCACTCACCACTGGTGACAGCATGGCTGGCACAAGCTGGCACACCATCCCCTGCTCCAGCAGCAGGACCCTGTCACCCTGCTCAGCTCTGTGCTGCTTGCCTTGCTCCCCACTGGCTCCCTGCCCCTCCAGGAGCTTGGGGAGTGCCAGGGAGGGTGGCAGGACCCCTGGCCCTTGGGGTCCCCAGTGCAGGAGGCAGGGTGCACTCGGGGCCGTGTGGGCTGTGAGGGGACGTGCCTTAGAGTCTGGAGGGGACGTGCTTGACTTTGCTACATGGCTCTGGCCCAGACTCTGCACTCAGTGCCCTGGAGGCTGCCCCACTCCCTCCTCAGTGCCCTATTTGTCTCTCCCTGAGCATCTGCTGGTGCTGGCTGATGCTCATCAAGGCTCGTGGCCATCACCGCTTCCTGGGCGGTGCGGGGGCATCCCCATCCCACCAGCTGTGAATAGGCAGGTGGAGCAGAGCAGCCTCAGGGCCGGAGCTGGGCCAGCCATGGGAGCTGCTTCCATCAGAGGCCATGAGGGTCAGTGCCTTGAGCAGGGCTGGGCAGTGGGGGAGGGTCCCCACATTCACCTGCTGCCATCCCACCCACCCAGATCTTCCACATGACCTACGACCTGGCCAGTGCAGTGATGAGGATCATCAACCTCATTGGCATGATGCTGCTGCTCTGCCACTGGGATGGCTGCCTCCAGTTCCTGGTGCCCATGCTGCAGGATTTCCCCCAGAACTGCTGGGTCTCCATCAATGGGATGGTGGTGAGTACCATCCACCCCCTAATACGCTCCTGCCTGATCCCCTGGGCCCCCACCCATCCTCCTGTCATCTGGCCTCCATGCACTGACCCCAGGAGATGCCATCCCCCCGCTGGCCATGGCTGCAGTGCCCTGTGGTTTACAGGGCACCCCACAGTGTGCAAGGCACCCGGTGCCGGGTGCTGACGTTGCTCCGGTGAGGTCTCGCAGGACCTGGAGCAGCGGATCGATCCGGGCGGGAGGAATATGCTGACATTGGGCTCTTGGTCCTGTCCCCTGCCGCCTTCTCCTGCTCATTAGCCATAAAGCTGCTATTAATAAATAATGTGCCCTGTTTCTAATTGCTCTCTCTCAGCCCCACAGCCTCCTGCAAATGGCTCTTCTCCCTCTGTCTGTCTCATCCTGTTCCATCAAGTTTCCATCTCTGCTCCGTTCCCTCCCGCCTGGCTTCCTCCTCTTCCTCCCCTGCCTTCTCCTTCCCTGACTGCTCCTCCAGGGAAGTTTGAAAAGTTTGGAAAGTTTGAAAATTTGCTTTTCAACAAATGCCTGTTGCTGAGGGCTGCTGAGAGAGGCAGGCAGAGAACCAGGGCCGTGGCCTGGCAGGGGCCAGGGCGCTGTGCCCTCGGGCGCTGCTCTCACACACACACAGGCACACACAGACACGCAGACAGACACACAGACAGACACACAGACACACACAAACACACAGACACACACACAAACACACAGACACACACAGACACACATGTGCAGCTGAGCACCAGCACGGGCTGAGCCGCCGTCCCTGTTGCTGCAGAACGACTCCTGGAGTGAGCTGTACTCCTTTGCCCTCTTCAAGTCCATGAGCCACATGCTCTGCATCGGCTATGGGAAGCAGGCTCCCGAGAGCATGACGGACATCTGGCTGACCATGCTGAGCATGATTGTGGGGGCCACTTGCTACGCCATGTTCATCGGCCACGCCACCGCCCTCATCCAGTCACTGGACTCCTCCCGGCGCCAGTACCAGGAGAAGGTAGGACTGGGCCAAATGGGACCCACGGCTTCTGTCCTGAGCCCAGCTGGCACGTCCCCTCCTGGAGATGCAGCCAGGTGGGGTGAGTGTTCCTGGTTGGGAGCAGGGATGGGGAGGTGTAGTGAGACTGGCCCCATGGAGTGGGAATGTGTGTGTGGGGTCCCAGCTAACACCACCTCTCCCCACAGTACAAGCAGGTGGAGCAGTACATGTCCTTCCACAAGCTGCCCGCCGACTTCCGCCAGAAGATTCATGACTACTATGAGCATCGCTACCAGGGCAAGATGTTTGACGAGGACAGCATCCTGGGGGAGCTCAACGAGCCCCTGCGTGAGGTGAGGGCTGGAGAGCTGGGTGTGGGGGATTGCTCCCCCAAAGGGAGGGACCCCCTGCTCCATGCCATGCGTCAGGGAGTGGTGTGTGTCCCGCTGGCTTCTGCCGTGCACATGCTTGGGGTCAAACACCTCTTGCTGCAGCTCTGCAGCTCTGAGTACGTGTCCACGCAAGATCTGTGTGCCAGGGTGTCCGTGAGCCTGCTGGTGGCGGGCAGCATGTCCCTGTGGAAGTGTGTCCCGGCCTCCTGTGCTCACCTGCTTCCCCACAGGAAATTGTCAACTTCAACTGCCGCAAGCTGGTGGCCTCGATGCCGCTGTTCGCCAACGCAGACCCCAACTTTGTCACGGCGATGCTCACCAAGCTGAAGTTTGAGGTGTTCCAGCCGGGTGACTACATTATCCGTGAGGGCACCATTGGCAAGAAGATGTACTTCATCCAGCACGGGGTGGTCAGCATCCTCACCAAGGGCAACAAGGAGATGAAACTCTCTGATGGCTCCTACTTTGGAGGTGAGCACTTGCAGGACTGAACCTGGGTACCCTCTTGGGGTCAGTGAGAAGTACTGGGGCACCTGCCCTGTCCTGGGGCATCCCCCATGTGGTGGTTCTCACCCCTTGCTCCTGGTTTGGCCCCATTTTGTTCTCACTGGCGGTGTTCTGACCTTGACCCCGGCATTTTCCACGCAGAGATCTGCCTGCTGACCCGTGGCCGGCGCACAGCCAGTGTCCGTGCAGACACCTACTGCCGCCTCTACTCGCTCTCAGTGGACAACTTCAATGAGGTGCTGGAGGAATACCCCATGATGAGACGGGCCTTTGAGACCGTGGCCATTGACCGCCTTGACCGCATTGGTAGGGCACGGTGGGGTCTGGAGGGGAAGAGGGGTGTCCCAGTAGAGGGAACAGCCATGACTTGCATGGGAAACCAGCGTAGTCCCAGTGTGGGACTCATGGTATTCCCTCTTCTGGCCCCCTCCCTGCAGGGAAGAAGAACTCGATCCTGCTCCACAAAGTGCAGCACGACCTCAACTCAGGTGTCTTCAACAATCAGGAGAACGAGATCATCCAGGAGATCGTCAAGTACGACCGGGAGATGGTGCAGCAGGCAGAGCTGCAGCAGCACACAGCTATGTACAGCCCCGTCCAGCCCCAGGTCACCTCCGCCATCGCCACTCTCCAGCAAGCCGTTGCCATGAGCTTCTGTCCGCAGATGGCGAGCCCTCTGGTGGGCTCCATGGCGCTGGGCTCACCCCGCATGATGCGCCGTTTGCAGTATGCCCAGGCCATGCCCAGCCCCTTCGCTGTCTCCCCCGTCCTGCTGCAGCAGAGCCCCCCGCCGCAGCCACAGCCCCCGACGCCCCACACCAACCCCTCGCCCTCGCAGGACCCGGTGCAGCCCACGGCCCTGCCCACCTCCACCAGCGCCTTCGCCGCGGCCTCGGCCAGCCCGCCGACCCAAAGCCCGCTGGCCAGCCGGACGTTCGCCTATGGAGGTGCCCCGGGGCCGCTGGGATCCCAGCTGTCCCTCAGCCAGCAGCCAGCACCTGGCTCTCCCCAGCGCCTGGCTGCCCACAAGAGCACACAGGCGCTGCACACCAGCAGCCTCAGCCAGGATTCGCGGCCCCTCTCGGCCTCGCAGCCCTCCCTGCCCCACGGGCTGGTGGCTGGCAGCACCCAGAGCCCTCCAGCCTCTGCCCGCGAGTCCTGCACCTCCATCAGTGGGGGCCCGGCCACTGCCTCGCCGGGCCCCGGGCCCCCAGCCGGGCTGCGGGGCCAGGCGCCCTCGCGGGGGGCTCCCGCCCACCCGGCACCCGCGGGCCCGGGGCTCACCCCGCCACCCACCCTGCCGCAGGACTCAGCGGCGGCCCGCAAGGATTCAGCGGCCAGCACGCCCGACACGGACCCGGCCAAGTCCAGGCTGTCTTCCAACTTGTGACCTCCGCGCCAGGCACAGGGACGCGTGTGCGGGAGGGGCTGCGCGGGGAGTCCCATCTCGCCTCGTGTCCACCCTGTGCCGCGGGGTGAGGGCCGCGGCCACCCCACCGGCTGCCGCCCCCCGTTGTGGTGCCAGCCCCCCTCCCCGGCTCCCTCCTGCCACCCGCTGCAGAGCGGGGCAGCTGCCGAGGGTGGGCACGGGGCTGCTGCACCCTGCGACACCGCGGGGTCACCGGGTGAGCCCCCGGCTGCGTCATCTCCGACCAAAGTCTGGCCCTGTCTCCCGCTCCCCACAGCGAAGCCCCGTTGCCCCTCGGCCTCCCTGGCTGCCCATAGAAGCCACAGCTGCATCCTCGCCATGACCAACTCTGTGTATGATATCTATGACCTGAACACATCCCTGTGTGTGTGACCCACAGGACACCTCCCGGGGCTGTCGGCACAGCCCTGGCGCCGCGTGTGTCCCTGCACCCCTCCCACAGACCCAAGGTGAGGGGTGATGGTCCAGGACTGGAGGTAAGTTGCAGGGGGTCTGAGGGATGGTCGCCCTGAGGCTTGTAAGCACCCATACACTGTCCCCCACCCCAGGGCTGGGAGTGAACGCGGCCCCATGTCCTCGTAGGCAGTGCTAGGATGGAGGCAGACGCTGGAGCCCAACCCCAGAGTCCTGGGGCTGGGGAAGGCACCCACTGCGTGTACCAGGTGTGTGTGTGTGTGTGTGTGTATGCGTGTGTGTGTGTATGTGTATGTGTATGTGTGTGTGTGTGTGTGTGCAGGGCTGTGTGTGCAGGTGTGTGTGTCTGCACATGTGTGTATGTGTGTGTGTCTGCACGTGTGTATGTGTGTGTGTCTGCACGTGTGCCTCGCTGCCTCGCACTCTGGAGCCCTCCACACTGAATGTACCGCGAGTGTGGGGCCCGTGCCAGCCCAGTACCCTGTGGCTGAGCAGCCGGAGGGACAGGGCCCCATTCCAAGCGTCCACCTTCCCATCCAGCCCATCCTGTGCAATAAACGTCAGCAGCTGACAGAGCTACGCACGACTCCGGCTCTGCTTCTTCGCCACCGTCCCTCCCTGCCGCGGCTCCGGCTGCTCCCGCTCCTCGTCCCTGGCCCAGGGAGCCTGAGCACTGGGCACAGTCCCAGCGTGGGCTGTGGGATGCAGCTTTGTCCTTTGAAGAGCTGACTCCCTGCCAGAAAAGCGACAAGGTGAAAAGCCTCCTCCCAGCAGCTTTCCCCTTGCTCCAGCAGCAGCCAGGAAGAAGCTGGGAGCAGGCTGGGACAGGAGACTGTGGGTACAGGGTGCAGCCAAGAACTGGACCAAACACGCAGCTGCAAGATGCCAACCATCTCCAACACCACCCCAGTGGAGAGGAGGCCTGGGAGGTCACCGTCTGGGGAGATAGGAGGCTCCTGGCTGGAAAGGCTGCAGTTGGACCCCATGAAAGCCCCACTCCCTCTGCAGCTACACTGGCAGAGTTCTGTGTTTCTGCTACAAAAGCATTTTCAGAATGTGATGCTCCTGTGAGCAACTGAAGCCCAACCAGTCAGTAGAACAGGACCAGGCTGGGGAGGCAGCAGTCCCATCTCCCCACACCCCCTGGAAGGTGAGGCGAGAGCCCAGGCACCCTGCAGCCTTCAGGCAAAGATGCCAAGGAGCACACAGGTCCCATCTCGTATTTCAAAAACCATTTTATTTACAGTATTGTACATGTTGACCCCTGAATTAGTGGTTTTCCCTGTTCGAGCCCCAGTGAGCAGCAGCAAAACCCCGCCCTGGAAATGGGAGTCAGGAGCTGCAGAGGCTGTGCTACAGAGTGGGGACAGTGCCCAGAGCTGGGGCAGAGCATGGAGCAGCACCCACCCCATAGCCAAGAGCAGGGCCAGGGCTCCTGCTGCGTCCAGAGTGGCTGCCTGTCCCTCCAGGTCTGAGCTCCACTGGTGGAAAGGAACAGCACCCCAGGACAGGCAACAGGTGAAGTTTGTGGGGAGCCAGCCCTGTCTACTGTTGCCCCTTTGGCCCCACCCCAGCTCAGGGCTGGGTGCCCTCTCCAGGTGCTGGGACACAGGCAGCGATGGCAAACAGTGCAGAGCCTGGCCCCCACTGGCTGCTCCTGCAGAGTCCCAGTGTGCCCCAGCACCTCGCTGTGGGGCAGGTCTCTTGCTGGGCTGGCAGCTGCACCCCCTTCCCCATGAGATGGAGGACAGGCCTGGAACCCACTGCAGCCAGAGAGGTCCAGAGGTAGCTCAGGGTTCTGCAGGCAGCCACGGCTCAGCTGAAGAAATAGGTGGAATCCATCACCTGCTTGAGGTTGAATTCACCTGGGGGGAGTGAGGAAGAGGAGAGGTCAGAAAGCAGGGTAGGGATGGACAAGGGGGAGAGAAGCAGCCTCAGGGTATGAAGGATCCCAGCCCCTGGACCGTGCTACCCATGGAACACTCTGCACAGAGGTCAGGCAGAGCCAGATGGCCTGGCAGACACAGGGCTGAGGGATTAGAAGGAGTTAAACTAATTGCCTTAATCCCATTGCATGTATATCATCTAGATCTTGGCAATTACTATGCTGAGTCCCTCAGTCCCATCTCCCAGCAAATGCTCATGGTTGGAAACAGATGGGAGCAGAACAAGAGCGGGATGGGATGAGCTCGGTCAGCCCGGGGGAAATTCCCCGGGGGATCAGTGGGAGGGATGCTTACAGGGATGATACAGGGGAACGTGTCCAGGCTCTGTCCCATGGCTCTGCAGTCCAGCACAGGAGGGAACACCTGATCCTATGGGACAGCTCTGGCTTTCTGTCTTTTGGGGGCCACTCCATCTCATTTCCCTTGTCTCCAAACCACTCCTGAGCTCTGCAGTTCCTATCCCATGCTCCTACCTGTCCTGGGGACATTTGACAGCTGCTCCATTAGTTTCTTCTGCCAGGCGGCTATGGTCTCTGTGTTGGGGCTGGATGAACCAGAAGAAAGCAAATCAACATGGGAGCTCTGGGAGAAGGCACACCCTCCTCTGCCCCCCAGTGCAGCCCATGACAACAGGATTCAGCTCTTCCAAAACAGACCGTGCACCCTCGAGTGGGAGCAGGAGCCCAGCCCTGACCACAGCAGCCCAGGGCAGGCCCTAAGGTTGCCAAACCCTCCCTCAGTTCTGCAGCAAGAGGGTGCAGAGCCCTTATTTTTCACACTGAGGTTGAAGGCAATTTGGGTGTCAGGCAAGAAGGAAGGATAGGTTCTACCCAGAGCAACCCCCAGGCAGGTGACACAACCTGTCAGCACCTGGACACGATCTCTGGGAGAGGGAACTGGTGCAGGCAGGAAGGAGCATGGTGGGGGAAACTAACAGGCCAGGAATACCTGCAGTATTTCTCCAGCATAAACTCAGACAGATCCTGCAAGATCTTCTCGCTGTGCAGAGCCACAAACTGCTGCCGACAGATCTGACCCAGGGAGACAGGGTGAGGCGCAGGTTAGGAGGCATTTTCCCTCCTTCCCCCAGTGGCAGGTTAGAGTTAAGGGGCAGGAAAGCAGCAGGAGCGGGAAGGAGGTGCTGCCAGACAAGGGTGCAGGAATCAGCCTGGGGAGGTGGGAAGCAGAGGCTGACCCCCACAGGCACAACAGCACTCACAGCACTGCAGAGGGAAGGGCCCAGGACAGGGCAAGGGCACCAGCTCTGCCAGGGCTCTGTTCAGATTCTGAACAGAGATTCTGCCACACACTCCCTGCAGTATGGGAGGGGATGAGGCACCAGCAAATCAGCTGCGACTGCCAGCAAGCATTCCAGGTTCACTTCACCTGGGTGAATCAATCAGCCTATGGAGCAAAGCCCTGGGGAGGCGAGGCCTGGCACAGATCAGCCAGATCTTGCTCACAAGGGACCCCAGAGGACACTTACCTGGTTCATGATGTCCACGGTGAGTGCGTGAGTCCAGTAGCAATCGTGGACCGAGACGAAGGTCAGACCCTGCCTGGGAGGGGGCAAAGGTGCCATGAAGTAGTGCTGAGAGCCCCTCTGTGTGATGACCCCCACCCCATGTAGACCTTCTGGCTGGGACAGGAGCACAGGCCACATAAGGAGGGGGACTCCCTGCATGGCCCCTGCAGGTCTTCAGAGATCCCAGGATGTCGCTGTGCCACTGTCTCCTCTCACCCCTTCTCTGCCAGGAACCCCAAACTCCCACCCACCAGGGAATCCCTAGTCCCACATGGCACCTTGCCCAGTGACACCCTCCCAGAAGAGTCCTGAGCCAAGGAAGAGCCAGCTGAGAGCCCAGTTGCCCACTCCTACCTGAAGCAGTGCAGAGCCGTGAGCATCATGTGTGTGGAGTCCAGGGAGTGGATGAAGTTGGGGGGGAAGGCGTTCTTCTGCTTCACAGTATCAGGCTTCCTGTGGCACAGTGGGACACGGAGGAGCTGGGGCACTTCAGAGCCAAAGATGAGAGCGCCAGCACAGAGGCAGTGCCACCTCAGCCCAGGGTTGAGGGGGCTGCCCTGGAGGGCTCCAGGGCCCTGCTCCTCTGTCCAGCTCTCTGCAGCTCAGGGGGATAACAGGAGCTCTGGCACTCCTTGACAGCTTCCCTGATGGGAAGGCCTTGTCCCCAGAGCACAGGCTGGGGTCACCAGGGGCACAGTATACTTTTGTACTTACTGGCTGCTACTGGGGGTTCTCACGCTCAAGTTCTGCATGCCACAATTCAGCTGTGAGTGGAGAGAGGAGACCAGTCACTACCCTGCACTGCCCGCAGCACAGGGGGCTGGGCACTGCCCCACCCCCCTGTGCCTTTTCAGGGTGTCCCAGCACTGTGGCAGCTGCCACTCCTCAGTGACACCTTGCCCAGCTCCCCTCCTGAGGATACTGGCAGGCATCCTGCACCCCTTCCCCGTGACAGCCCTCGCAGGGTGAATCAGCCTGAGAGGGGCTGCTGGAGGTGAGCAGCACAGGGATGAGACGGGCCGGGGGACGTGAGTCAGCGCAGTGCGCGTGGGAGGCGACAGCAGTGAGACTGAGTCACACGAGCCCCGAGGAGGCTCCTTGGAGCGGGGAACGGCCCGTGCCCCAGCTGCCTGAGTGGGACAGAGCAGAAGAGCTTCCTCACCAGCCCACCCACACCCTCCAGGCTCTGCAGGGAGCGATGAGGCTGGAGGATGTTCCTGTACACACGGATCTTACCTGCTCTGCAGGCTCACCCACCGGTGGTGCCAACCTGCCAGGCTCCATCCCAGCTCCTCCCTGCTCCCACCATGGCACAGGGAGGGGTGGATGAATCTTCACACCAAACACTCACTCACCACAGTGGACTTGAAGCGATAGTAGGGCTGCACGATGGGGAGCCCCAGCGGTGTGACCCACTCCACTGTCCGCCCCGACTGGGAGATGAGCTTGGCACTCTCTGTCAGCCAGTGCTTCAGAAGAGGTGAAGAAGCAGCCGGAGTTAGTGTGAAGCTGGGAGACCCCATCCCCTCCCAGTGTGGGCCACCCCGATTCCTACCACAGACTGGGACTTGCTTACTGGCAAGTAGCACAATCCCACACCTCTGGGCTGGGAGGAGGAGGATCCTCTCTGGGCCAGGACCCAGGAGAACCATCTCTCCCCCTGGTCTATGTATGAGCGGACCAGGGAAGAAGAAAAAGCAGAGGGAGATAAGATGCAAGAGGCTTTTCACCTGGATATCTCGAGTTGCTGAGAACATCTCCTTGATGCTGTTGAACACCTGCCTCACCAGGTAGTGAGATGCTTCCCACAAGTAT